TCTTCCCTCAATATTGCCAGTTCTCACCAAGTTTTCAAGTATGTTCCTTCTCATAGCATGGCCAATAAATACTGGCTGTTTGTATCTAATCTCCCTAATCTATTCACAGCTTTCACCTCTGTCTACAAGAGGACTGTCTCATTTGTTTTGTTTTTTCATTATTTCATTATATTGTTTCGCATTTTTAGTTTTTTTTAAAAAAACAATCTTATTGCCAGTGAATGTTTTTTGGTTTGCCAGCTGCTAGTTAGTGAAAAGTAAAAATAAGTAGTACCTTTTCTATGCCTATAGCGTATAGGGCATATATGGCTAGACCTTTATTTTATAGACTAATTGGCACAAGATATCTACTACTACAAAGTCGGCGTCTGTGAATTATACTTCTTCTTTTGTTGTCTCACTGAAACTAGGTGGTAGCCCAGAGTCGTGGTTTTCTGTATTTGCCTTGCGCTTCTCAGGTGGCTTGGATGATGGATTTGTTCACCTTTTGGCAGGTTTCTGCTACATAATTTATCAATCTCTTTCTTGGTCTTCCTCTCACTTTCCTCCCAGATGTTCAACTGTAAAAAGTCTCATTTGCAGTTTGGTCTGGCTGCATTCTCACTAGATGGTAGAATCATTTCATTATGTCTGTGGCTTAGGCATTGCTTCATAATGCCAGGGTGCCGGGTCCAATTCCAGTTAAGGACAGTTTGTCTTGCATTGTTTATGACAGTGTTACAGAGAGCTGACCATTCGGTGGCAATGACAAAATACTGAACGAAACATTTGCATATAAAAACCACAACAGTTTTGTTTTTTTTAAACTGGAGTTGGTTCTGCAACATCCTGTAAAAGGATACGCAGCTAACTAACTACAACAAAAGTAACTATATCTGCAACAACAATAAAAACAGCAGCCAAGAAGTTACCGTGATTGTTACAGCAAAAGTCTCCAGCCCTTTATAGACCTTATTCATGATATCCTCAATAACCCTGAGAATTGAGGGCTTTTCAAACTGCTGAGCCTGGACAATGGCCGGCCACAGTTTGCTCAGTGACTGCCAGTCCCGTTTGTTGGCCAGGCATGTCTTGCCTCCACTCTGTATCACATACAAGCTGCCCTAAATAAGAAGAGAAAATATTTAAATACTTTGTCAGTCACAAATAATGTATGATGTGTGACCGATTCCTTCACTTGTATTCCAGCCATCAGATAATGTGTCCTCTTTATTTTTTTTCCCCTTAGTGATAAGAAAGCTTTTGTGTGCTGCAAATCCCCCCACTGATCCAATGTTTTTTGCACTCATTAGGTGTACTAAGTGTAGCATAACATTGGCCAAAAATATAGTTATTAGATTTGCCGTGGTAGACGGAGGCATTCCTCTGTGAGTCAAAAGTGGTTTTTGTTGTTCCAGTAACTGATTTGCTTTTCAGAAAGTGGACCATATTATACAATATAATTTCACCATTATCAAAACAAAACAAGCACATGTGAACTATTTTCTCATTACATTTTGAAGGAAACAATACAAAAGAATCACTTAAATCAGTTTCCAGTGTGGTTTCTGGGGCTCCCTTTTTGGGGGGTGGGGGAGGTGGGGACAGCCTCATTGCTCCCAACAAACATGTCATAGGAGGCGACTAATTATGGGCATTTCCTTCAAACTAGGAGTGCATCTTGTTGAGAGGCCAGGAACCAATAGTATGCACACAAACAAACCTGACATGTAAAATGGATGTGCATAAAAAAAACTTGTTCCAGAACAAGAGTAATGTCCAGAAGTGGACGAACACCCAGAACTTTCGGCCAGAGTTTACAGCTGGTGAAAACTAAGAAGATTAGCTCATGCACATCATATGTTAATTTCTCTATCTATTCTTCCTTTCAATGTGAAAACTGTCCCTAAATATTTAAATACACTTGGTCTTATCCCAGGTTACAACCACATTTACAACATAAACAGTCCATCCAGATGTAGTTCAGCAAAGAAATGAGAGACAGACATGCAGAAACATAAAATAGATATATTCTTCCAAACATACTGCCTATCTCATGTATCATATAATAGATATATTCTTCTAAACATACTGCCTATCTCATGTATCATATAATAGATATATTCTTTCAACATACTACATACTGCCTATCTCATGTATCATATAATAGATATATTCTTTCAAACACACTGCCTATCTCTTGTATCATATAATAGATATATTCTTTCAAACACACTGCCTATCTCTTGTATCATATAATAGATATATTCTTCTAAACATACTGCCTACCTCATGTATCATATAATAGATATATTCTTCCAAACATACTGCCTATCTCATGTATCATTTAATAGATATATTCTTTTAAACATACTGCCTATCTCATTTATCATCTAGTAGATATATTCTTTCAAACACACTGCCTATCTCTTGTATCATATAATAGATATATTCTTTCAAACACACTGCCTATCTCATGTATCATATAATAGATATATTCTTTCAACATACTACATACTGCCTATCTCATGTATCATATAATAGATATATTCTTTCAAACACACTGCCTATCTCTTGTATCATATAATAGATATATTCTTTCAAACACACTGCCTATCTCTTGTATCATATAATAGATATATTCTTTCAAACATACTGCCTATCTCATGTATCATATAATAGATATATTCTTTCAACATACTACATACTGCCTATCTCATGTATCATATAATAGATATATTCTTTCAAACACACTGCCTATCTCTTGTATCATATAATAGATATATTCTTTCAAACACACTGCCTATCTCTTGTATCATATAATAGATATATTCTTTCAAACACACTGCCTATCTCATGTATCATATAATAGATATATTCTTTCAACATACTACATACTGCCTATCTCATGTATCATATAATAGATATATTCTTTCAAACACACTGCCTATCTCTTGTATCATATAATAGATATATTCTTTCAAACACACTGCCTATCTCTTGTATCATATAATAGATATATTCTTTCAACATACTACATACTGCCTATCTCATGTATCATATAATAGATATATTCTTTCAAACACACTGCCTATCTCTTGTATCATATAATAGATAAATTCTTTCAAACACACTGCCTATCTCATGTATGAAGTGAGCAAAGTTAAAGACAAGCTCTGGTGGTCAATGGAAATATAAAAGCAAGGAAACCTTGAAAACATGCTGCTCCACATCCTTGTTCTTCAGGTGATCCACAATCTGGGGCAGGCATGTCAGATAAGAGTAGTTAAACAACCTGAATGCTTGATGTAAGCACATCTGGGCTCGTTTTCTCACCTGAAAATACACAGAATATGACAGCAATTGCTTTCTTGCAGGTAAAGTTTTATATTTTAAAATTGTGCGTGTCCAGTAGATTCTCATTCTTCTTCTCCTGCACTTGTCCTTAAATAGTGGTTGTCCAATTGTATTGTAATTTACAGCCAGGCTGCAATATCTGCACCTTTAGGCCCAACATCACATCCAATTTCAGCTAATCCCTAATTAGCTGCCTTTTTGGACACCGGAGCAGTGGGTGTTTCTTCCCCACCAAAATTTTTTTTGTGTGGAGAACACATGATACTATGGCCAATTTCAACCATTCTCTGTGCAGTGTGCTGAATCATGATCATATTACAGTCTAATGTGTTTCTCTGCATTTAGTAAGTTCTAGTACTGGCTGTACCTTGCTTTTTTTGTTTTTCTGTGCTGGCAGAAGGCAAAGAGAGCTCTGCAAAACATCCAACTTTTTTATCAGGTCAAGAAAAAAGCCTACACATCAATCTTTCAGATCCCTCTTTCCTATCTAGTGGTCCAAATGAACAATGTAAGATGTCCATGATACTATACAAACATTTAAAAAAAACCTCAACATTAGAATGCAATCCTTTCTGCAATTATATTATTCCTTTTGACTGCCAAGATTTTATACTGCTATTCTACAAGCAATATTTAATGAATATAGACAATGTGCTTCTTAAAATGTTTAATGTTTTACAAGAACCTGAGTGGCCATGAGGCTTAAAACGGAGCTGAGAAGATAAGGAAAATCCAGCACCTTAAAGAGAGTGTGGCTGCAGCAGCTGCATCTCTGGACATGAGTCAGAAGATGTGACAGTAGATTAAATATCATCTAGACATCACCAGAGAATAAATGAGGCTCAATTCCAAGTGCATAAGGTAAGTCTAAAACTTTAAACTTTTCTGAACATGGGTATGTCTATTAAATAATTATTTTATAATAATTTAAAATCCCAGCAATCATTCTGGATAACCCTGTATTTTTGTCTGTTCTTTTTTTTTTTTTTTAATTTCATAACATGACTATTAAAAAGTATGCAGTCCATGGCAGATCTTCAAAAATAAAAGGGGTCCATGGGTTAGAGGTAACTGAGAACCCCTGTCTAAGATAGCAGCAAACCCTTTTTGATGGTTAGGCATCTTGAATGTCAGCAATAGAATATAAGGATTACTACTCAACAGCCTTTCAGAGAATTCACAAACAACTTCTGCTAATGATTCATTTTGTCTGGTGGTCTCATTTCCCATTTAAAAGCCAAACAAAATGTAACCAAACTCACCTCTCGATACCGACTCAGAGACAGACTAAGCAGCTCATTCAGCATGACTTGGTGTCGACTAGTGAACCCATGCACAGAGGAATTCAGAATCCTCAGCTAAATTAGTTTAAAATACACAAAAATACACACAATTTGGACTGTATTATGTATATATATATATATATTTCAGTTCTTATATATTTGAAAATATTCACATCTTAACAACCGTTATCAAATGTTCAAAGTTGTAACTCCTTCTTCTTCAGCAATTCGAGCCCTTGAGGTTTATTACTGCAGATATTACTCGCCTTCATTTATTTCTGAATATGAGGCTCGGATATCTGCTTCATGACGAAAATGAGATTTTACAAAGGTTGTGAGTGTCGGCCCCATGTTTTAACCCCCAACCATGGTGTCTTTCTTTGTCTGTTCTCTACCCTTTCAACCTAGGAGGCCCTGCAGGTAGCGTTGCAACCATTAGCATGGCTCTCAGGGTAACTGAGAAGCATAAGCTCCTCCAAGTTATATAACCAGCATAAGCTCCGCCAAGTTATATAACCAATTTACTTCAAGCAAACACATAAAAATAACAAGATAGCCTGACATATTGCATTTTCAGGATATTATCTAACAGGAATTGCCTCTTTGTCTATAACCCTTCTGCCTTTGAAAAAATATCTTTAAAAAAAAAATTTTTTTCTTTTGGTTTAATGCATCCTTATAATTCTCGGAAACTACACCACAGGAAGAAAAGAGCAAAAAGAAATGAAGAGTCTTATAAATTTTTTTTTTTCAACAAATATCCAGGTGTTTGAACCCATAGACCGCCAAGCAGACAGGCAAGCAAGAAATCCACAGCTTCTTCACACCTGCCAAGTCATTACACATTGGAAGGGAGGAGGGGAGGGGGAAGGAGTCATGCCTACCAAGCTGTTGTGACCGGTCCCAATGCTGTTATACAGTCCTAGTGGCCACTGCCCAAAGTCTTCATGTTATCAAAAACCCACAAAAGTCAGAATTCTGGCTTTCCCAGGGTGACAGGGTTAAATCACATAACAACAACAATAACAACAACAACAACAAAGGGCTAGCTTAACCAACAAATGCTAGAAGAACTTAGATGTGTCGGCTGAAAAGCACAAACGTCACAACTCAACTGTAAACTGGGACAGTGCAAATATGTCAAAAACAAACAATACCAAATGAAGATAGAGCCTCCTAGGCTGTAAAAAATTATATTAACTCTTTAAGTCTCAAACAATACTTCATGTGTGATTGGTTCTTCACCCCGAATCCCATCCATCACATTATGTGTTCTCTTGTTTTACCATTTGGTCAGAGCACGCTAAAGAAATCTGGCTTTCCCAGAAGCCAGTTTAGATTTATTCTCTTTGAAAGTAACACTTATGATATTTCATAAAGACTGTGTTGTTCCTTGCGCATCATCTGCAAATACCTTCTGTCACTCAAAGAGTTAAACTTATGACAACAAATTAATAACTGAGAATGTGAAGATTCTGTAACTAAGATAAAATAGGACAATAGCCCCATACCTCATGCTGCAACTGGATCCTGTCTATCAGTAATGCCCGCAAGTATCTCTTCTTTGACACCAACTGTAGACAGAATCAGAAAAATACTTTGCATATAAACACTTCTAAATATACTGTTATAAAAATATTCCTTTTAATACAAATTTATTCAATGGCGCATTCTTATTAATTGACAGGAAAGCCTGTACACCTAAAAACTATCAATGACCAAGATGCATTTGTTTTTTGTGATTAGTATACAAATTGATCTTATAATGATGATAATATTTCTTCACAATAATGAGGAAAATATAAATATAAATGCATACTTAAACTGATTCGAAGGTCATAGGGCTTGACAATAATTACCCTTTGGTGCTCTTATCTCTTTCAACAACAGTACAAAGCTCTAGTTTATTACACAACAAGTGGCAAACAAGTAAGAATGTGTACGTATGTATACAAGTATTACAAACTATCACATGTTGTTATGAATAAATTAAAATTATTTGTAGATTTCCCAGTGCAAGGGCCAGTATATTGCATATTATTGTAGTTTATTAGCATATTGTTTTTGTAAATCTGAATGTTTCTGATCCATAATAAAATACTGAATTTCCTCGTGTGGGTTCCGGGGCCCCACTGTGAGGAAAACAAGAATAGACCCACTGCCTACCCAAAAGCATGTCGTAAGAGTCGACTAATTGGGAGCTTCCTTTGAAGTCAAAGTGCATCTGCCTGAGAGGCAAGGAACCACCAGTCTGCATTCAAGTGAATCACATCTATAAAACTGATGCACACCCAACACTCAGGTTCTGGAACAGGACTGCAGTCCAGGCGTGGACGAACAACCAGAACTTTCCACCAGAGTCTACAGCTGGTGAACGTGAAAAAGAAGAAGAAATACTGAATTGTTTAGTTTGACTCTGTGAGTTTGACTCTGTGTATTCAAAATCTGATGCTAGATTTAATATGCTTAGACTTCCACACATTCCTAGAGCTATAATTACATTAATATGGAATACACCAAGAAAACTCTTTTCCATGCCATTAGGCGTTTAGTGCATATAGGGCTAGACCTATTTTTTATAGACCAATCGGGTAAAGATGAGTTATGTGGTCAGCATCACGCCAGCCGCCTTTACTTCCCGGGACTGCACCCAGTACACACTCAATGCTGTGTCAACCTTGGAGCCAAGGTCATTTTTGAAAAAAAAGAAAGAGTCCGGCTCCGACAGGGAGCGAAAATCTGCAGGGGAGCGTCTAGCCGCTATGCCGCCGGGACTCCAAACTAAATATATGAATTATTAAATTATGAAGTGAGTTTTTACCAAGTGAAACTTCCCCATGTGGAGGTCCAGGGCGCCGTAGGAGGGGGTGAAAAACAGAGAACCTGCTCATTAACAAGCATGTTATAGAAGATGGCTATTTAAGGTTTTGCTGAAGCTGGGTGTGTTGGGGTGCAGATATCACAGCCCAGCTGTAAACCCAAACACAACAAGTTAACAACCTTTTTGAGAGTGAATGCAGAAGAAACAGACCAAGATAAATCAGTTATCATTTTCTTGATTTATTTATTTTCTTCTTTTCCCTATTTTTTTCTTTTTCTTCTTCTTTTCTTCTGTCGTCCACTGATACCAGGTTGTAGCCAAGTGTCATAGTTTTCTGTATTTATCTTGCGCTTCTCCGGTGGCTTGAGTGATGGATTTGTTCAGCTTTTGCAGATTTCTACTACACCATATTTATTATTTACCATGTTATTTTTTTAGACCTAATTATTGTGCCCTTTTATCAAGTGAGGTTAATTTATTCCATTCTCATTTCATGTGGTGGACAAGAGGACAATGTCATCTGCAAAGTCTAAATCTTCAAGTTGATTTGTCATAGTTCACTGAATTCCATTTCTCCCTGTGCTGGTTCCAGGCCCCCATTGATGGGGAAAGAAAAAAAAAACCACTGCCTACCCAAAAGCATGTCATAAGAGTGGATAACTGGGCGCTTCCTTTGTAGTCGGAGTGTGTACACCAGATAGACAAGGAACCAACAGTCTGCATACAAATGAGTCAGATATGTAAAACAGATGTGCAGGCAGCACCCAGGTTCTGGAACAGGACTAAAGTCCAGAAGGGGATAAACAACCAAAACTTTCCGCTGGAGTTTACAGCCAGACAGCGAAGAAGAATTACATTTCTGGCTGTAACTACAATTTTCATAATTCAGTAAACATGGGAACATGGTGGTTTAGTGGCTAGATGATCAACTGCTTGCCTAAAGGGCTGGGTTTGAAATCAACATAGGGGTTGATTTTTTAAAAGTTGATCTTGGCCTCCAAGTTGACACAACATAAAAATGGTGCTAGGTAAAGTCCTGGCAACTAAAAGTGGCCGGCATGATGTTGACCACACCGTCTGTTGAGTGCAGATTGGTCTATAAAAATATGAGTCTAGCACCCTTTGGCCGATGGGCTCTGGTGTAAAAATAATCCTTCATTTAACATTTTTTTTTTAACTTTCTGACAGTTAGCTTCAGTTACTTCATTTATTAACCCTTTCGCTGCTATGGACGTCTTTTCCCGATTTCCCATACGCTGCTGCGCCCGTCTTTGGACGTTATTTTTTTTCTTGACCCCCAGTGCTATGGACGTCCCAAGCCGTGTTTGGACTTTTCTTACAGATTTCTGTTACCTCGTATTTTATTGGCTGAAGGGCAATATACATTAGCTATATTTAGATTAAACTGACCCATTTACATATGATTAAAAGCACTGGCACGTGCTTTTAGGTGTGTTTAAGGTGTGTTTACTGCATTCTGCGTTATCCCGTTGCTTTGTTTACCGTGACAGCGTGGTCGGTGATCTGTGTATTTTGTGCCCTGATATATATTTGTGCTTTTGTATTATTCTACACTTAGTACAAAATGGCAAGAAAACTTGTTAAAGTTGATGAAGAATTTATGGAGTTTCTGTCAAGAAGTGATAGCGAAGATGACTTTTGTTTACTTCTGACAGTAAACAAAAGTTTTGACTAGGCCATCAATATCTACTGCTGAAACCGTCGTTGTCCAAAAAAAGCTGTTTGCATGTCCGACGTCCTCATTGTCGGAATCAGAGAGCAGCGACAATGAAGCACCATCAAAACGGCAATAAATTGATCAGTTGTCTTTATGAACCGCTGATTTGAAACCAGTAGTGCATAATTTTGATGACTCCAGCTCTAACTGTATTTCTGCTACTGAAAATTCAAACAGTTCAGTCACTAAAAATTCTCGTCTTTCCCGATGGACAGACACAGATTCGGACGAACTTTTTTTTTTTTTTTTGTTGTCTGTCTGCTAATGCTTAGAACAAAGAAACTCAAAATAGAGTACTTGAGCAAAGACTGTTTGCTAAATACTCCCGTGAAATAATGTCGACGGACATATTTTTACTATTGTTGAGAATCTCAAACATTTCTCAGACAACAGTGCTCATGCAGGCGGCGATAGACTACAAGCTTAGGCACGTTATTTATAGTCTGCGTACATCAGTCATTATTATCATTCACACAGCAAAATACGTCAAGCGGTAGTATAGTGTAGTTGGTATCACGTTCGCCTTAGAATCAGAGGGTCGTGTGTTCAACCCCCGAAGTCGTGTTTTTATTTATTTTTTTTTAAATTATTGTAAATTTTCCTTTCAGTTCCTGCTACTTTTTATCAACGGACGACTCAAGTATTATTATTAAATTTTTTTTTATTATTTTGGTATTTAATAACATGGTGACTACAAATAACTATGATTAAAGTGGCAGCCGTGGTAGGTTCGTCAATAAATTTTGGGATACGGACAGGGAACAGTTCTTCCCATTAATCCCCCCCCCCCCCCCAACCCAGAAGGATGATAGCTCCGTTAGTCAAGTTTGTGGGCCACCATCGTGCCTCTGACTTGTCACCACTCGGACCAACCACACAACTCCCCAGGGTAAATTTTTTTGGGTGTACAAAATATAGCCCTCACCGCCGACGCATCTCTTGCGTTTGGAGGATAGAAAAGTATTGCGCACAGCAGAGACTTTTTTTTTTTCACATTGCTTAGCACAGGGAGGACAACTATTTCCGGGAATGTAGCAGCGAAAGGGTTAACATTCTTATCATCTGGAATACATCTTTTGCTTGGGCTCTCCTGCTCCTAACTGTCACAAATCTTCCATCTGATATTATGATTGTCAGACAACCAACACCCACAAATATTACTTTGAACTGGCTCCAAACAAATTCTTACCTGGTTCTCCAAAGCTGATTTGACGACATGGAAACTTTTCCACCGGCCATCAAACTCATTCTTCACTGCTCCATAGTGTTGTATAATGACCTCATAGATCTGCAAAAAAAGAGTAACTGACAGTCAAACAATGTTACTTATTTTGGTTAGGTTCACGTTAATCTCCACAAATAGAGCAGGTCACTTTTCATTCACAAGTTTGTTGGGCTGGTCGACTTTCCTGAAGGTTACAGGTGTGTCCTGCCCTGTTGTTTGCTTTCTGCATTGTCTTGCATTTATGTTTTTATTCCGAGAAAAAGAATGCCTGTGACATAGGCTGCAGCACTCTCTAAAAGGGTCGTCTTAGGGTCAGTTTCTCCATGTTTTTGGAGTGTTAAAAGCGCTGGCGTGGTGAAATATACAACATGCAATATCAACAGCATCGCGGAACACCCTTACGACGTTGTGCGAAGCTCAAAGGGCTCAGGAACTACCAGTCAGAAGTGAGCTAGTGTGTAAATTGGCAAGGCCTGGGGAGACTAATGTTACGTGTTCCCTTATTTTATTCAGCATATGTGTTATCTTTTTTTTTTTTTGGGTTCACCGGCTGTGAATTCCGGCGGAAGGTCCTGGTTAATCGTCCACTTGGACTTTTGGCTTTCACCCAGACCTGATTTTTGCATGTACAACCGTTTTAATGTTCCCTGCCTCATGGGCAGCTGTACTCCGACTTCGAAGGAAGACGTCAGGCCTATTTCTAGGTTGACTGTGGCCATTGTTTTGTGTGGATCAAGACGTTGCCTGATTTGTGTGGAGTCCACTTTGTCTCCTTCTCCATAGGTATTGCCCCCGGAGTACCCCTTTGGGGCAGCCCCCTGTGGAACAGTTAGCCCTCAAGGGAAGGCAGGGGCAGATAATGGGCATTCCCCGCCATCCAAGGAGGCTTCCATGTATGCAGAGCCGGCACATGGCGCTCTGGTTCTGGGCTCACCCAAGGAATCGTCACGTCCTGCACATGCCTGCTTAACCTCACAACCGTATCAGGCTTCCCGCTCGACAAGAGCTGCGCCCTCTGGAAGACAGCGGGGAGCAGCCTGTGGATTTTGGACTTTTGTGACCACACGAATAGGTACATTCTTTTTTCTTCGCACGTTAGATTTCTTTGACGAGCCGTTAGCCCAACAGAATTTTACATCCTGCGTCAGGCATAGCGTTATCAGTTTGGTCCCAACACTCGGGCGAGTGGGGTCTTTGGGTGTGGACATTTGGTCTTTTTCCGTTCAGTACAAATTGTGGTGGTCAGATTTTGAGCTCACTCGTGTGCCATAGGATCTAGTTTTGTCGGACATTTAGGATTAGCCAGCCAATGGGCTGTTGCTGTTGTGGTGTACCTCAGCGCGGTGACGATGACACTAAGGGTTACACGAGGATGTACATGGCTGGCCAGCCTGTGTATGGTTGCTGTTTTGGTGTACCTCAGCGCGGTGACGACGACACTAAGGGTTAACCGAGGATGTACATGGATGGCCATCCTCTGGATGGTTGCTGTTGTGGTGTACCTCAGCGCGGTGATGACGACACTGAGGGTTAACCGAGGATGTACATGGATGGTCAACCTAGGGATGGTTGCTGTTGTGGTGTACCTCAGCGCGGTGACGACGACACTGAGGGTTAACAGAGGATGTACAGTGAACAGTGTTCTCTTCACTCCGCATTCTTTTAATTAAGGGTTGTGATTTTTAGTTGTACGTTTGGCAAGCATACTCATGTTCCTTTGGGGCCGCCAAACTCCGAGATCCCCTGACAGCTCTGTTAATGCTCATTTGAGACATTATCCGTGGCGCACGACGAGGACGTGCTGCAGGGGTCTTGCGTGAGGTTCCGTAAAACCAGAACAGTGAAGGACTGGCGCCTGAGTGACGTACGAAGTATCTCCTTATACACATCATGTTGGACTTAACTTCCCCTCATGCCTGTGACATAAATCACCGCGCCACTATGTTTTATCAAATGCTGTTTATTTTAGGTGACAAAATGTCCATGGAATGTTACTTTTACTGGAAAATAAGTTTATAAAATGTTGCTTATTCAATGTCTTCTAATTCTCTTTATCAGCTGTAAACTCTGGCATAACGTTCTGGTTGTTCATCCGCTTCTGGACTTCAGTCTGATTCCAGAAACCAAGTTTTACGTGGACATCCATTTCATGGATCTGGTTTATTTGTAAGCAGACTGTATTTTCCTCGCCTCTCAGGTCTATCCATTTGGGAGGGAAGGAAACACCCTTAATTAGTTGACTTTTATGGCATGCTTATAATGGGGTGGTGGGTGGTCTATTCCCCACCCCTACCAACCCAAAAAAAATGGGGTCCTATCAGTGTGACATATAAAAGTAAAAAGTAAAGATCCATTTTCATGCCTTGGGCACATCGGGCATATGGGAAGAGAACCCCATATTTTTACAGACCAATCAGCACTAGGCGGGTAATGTGGTCAGCATTATGCCGGTCGTCTTTACGTCCCCAGGACATCTATCCTAGTACCCATTTTAGGCTGGGTCGACCAGCAATACCTCATGCCATAATAAAAACCCACGCAGCCAGCAGTGGGTTTCAATATCGATATGTTGGAATTACGAGTCGACACAACACTTAAGCCACAGATGCCATAGTGTGATATATGTTCAAGGAATAATGTTTATCCAATGCAATATCATCTGACATTTTCTTCTTCTTCTTCGCGTTCACCGGCTGTAAACTCCGGCCAAAAGTTCTGGTTATTCGTCCACTTCTGCATTGCGGTCCCGCTCCAGAACCTGAGTGTTGCATGTGCATCGGTTAGACAGATCTGACTAATCTGTATGCAGACTGTTGGTTCCTTGCCTCTCAGACAGATGTACTCCAACTTCAAAGTAAGCTCCCAATTAGCTGACTCTTACGACATGCTATTTGGGTAGGCAGTGGGTCTATTCTAGTTTTCCCGATAATAGGGCTCTGGAACCCACACGGGGAATCATCTGACATAAAACGTAAACAGTTTACCTTGACTATATGAAACAAGCTTCTCGTGTCATCTTCCCTGGAGATGTTCATGCATTCTGAAAGACAAGAGATAGGAAATAATGAAAATAAGGTTGAGTTTACAAGCTATGATTATGGCTCTCACAAAGGCAGTTAAAAAATCAAATGAAAGAGAAGAGATAGGAAATAATCAGTCGACCCATTAATTATGAAAATAAGGTCGAGTTTTCAAGCTATGGATTATGGCTCCCACAATGGCAATTAAAAGGTCAACTGTGTGAAGATCACAATGCATTCAAAACAAAACCCTAATTCATATTCAGTATTGCAATAATATCTTGAGAAAGAAAAAAAATAGGAAGAGGTGAAACTGAAAGTTAAGAAGAAAAAAGAATGATTTCAGAATTACAAAAATACACATGAGGAGAAATATTCAGGTTCCATATATGTTAATAAATTACTAAAAATGCACAAGTAAACATTTGCTAGTGAACTGGGATGCTAACTTATAAAAAAAAAAATTAGAACAAAATTTCCCTCTAAATACTTTCTTTAAGAACTTTAAAAAAATGACTCTTCAAAATTTTGTTTTTAAAAATTGCATCCTTATATCTCTGAAACTCTACCATAAGACTTAGAGCAGCGGTTCTCAACCTGTGGCTCACGACTCTTTGGAAAAAGGGGGGGGGGGGAGAGAAGGAAACGACCCTTTCATAAGGGTTACTTTAGTCATTCAAAAACTCATATTCATTGACGTTATGAAGCAGTAATGAAAATAATTATATGTTTAGGGGTTGCCACAGCATGAGGAACTGAATTAAAGGGTTGTGAAATTAGGAATGTTGAGAGCCACTGAACTAGAGGAAGAGAAGAAGAAGCAGAAGAAGTTTGGAGTCTTAATGGGTTTTTTTTTAAAATCTATACAGTTGAAACCTATGATCACCAAGCAGACAGGCAAGTGTGATAGCCACTGCAGTATCATGGGCCTCAAATTCCTTGAATTTTTTACAAAATTGGTTAAAATATAACATCTAAACTGTTTTTTTTAAATTGTGGGGGGGAAAAAAAAAGGGGGGGGGGGGGATATAGAAGACCCAAAAAAAAGGGGAGCAGGGTAAATATAATCATAGCCACCACACCTACACAGCTGTAACCTGTACTAAAGCTGGTATATAGGTGTGAGTGGTCGATGCTCAAAGATTTTGTATCATCAAAAACCCATTTTTAAAAATATGTCAATGCTACTGCAGTCCATTTCTGCAGTTTTACACTATTAGCTTTTTTTTTTTTTTTTTTACATTTGACAGCAGTAAGAGGGTTGTACGCTTAGACTCGAACCTCACCATGTATTTCCAGACAAAGAGTGATAACTGGCTGCAGCCCTAAGAACATTTTTTACATGTGAATTTTCATTCCAGTCCTCAAGAGTGAATAACTTGTCAATACATTCAATACAAACACAACATTCACAAAATACTTACTTAGTAAATGACTCAGGGCATCGTGCACTGCAGCCCTGACGTTTTTCCCTTTGGCTGTCAGAACTGAAATAGAACAGAAAAGGGAACAAAACAGTGTTAGAGCTATGTTAATTCAGGATAAAATGGTTCACAATTCAAGGAGAAAACATGCTTGCTCAAAAACATTCTAGGGGCATCTAACAAACAATTCTTTTATGTCAGCCTAATAAGGTTATTACTTTACCAGAAAGAAAGGACTGAAATGGTATGTTTCACCTGTTACTGATATATGGCAGTGAATCTTGGAATATGAATAAACAAATCAAGAAGAGCTTAAAGGGAACACAAATGTTGTTTCTGAGTACGAAAAAATTATGCACTTTTTTCCGGCCAGTGGCGCATCGGACAAATGATGCTAGAATCATATTTATACTGACCAATCGGCCTTTGGTGGTTAACATCACGCCAGCTGCCTTTACTTCCCAGCAGGAATTACCTGGTACCAATTTAAAGCTGGGTCTACCTGGCAGCCAAGACCAATTTAAAAAAAAAAAAATTCCTAATGAGGAACAAAACCCAAGACCTTCAGACCACTAGGCGACTGCCTGGCCACTATACCTCCCTTACTTCCTGCTTCTGAATAAATGTTGTGAATAGCTCAGATAACCAAAGCAACTAATTATGACTGCATGGGTAAAAAATAAATAATGTCTCAGTCATATAATTTATTCACTACATACACTTCTCATTTCTCAGTGTGTAATTAATTAACTACAGTCACTTCTCATTGTGTAATTCACTAATTCACTTTCAATTTTGTATGTCTCAGCCGTGTTATAATTTCACTACATTCACTTCTCATTGTGTAATTAATTCACTACATTTACTTCTCATTTCTCAGTGTGTAATTCACTACATTCACTTCCCATTTCTTATGTCTCAGTTCTGTAACAAATTCACTGCATTCACTTCTCATGTCTTTTTTTAAAAAAAAGTAAAGATCCCTTTACACGCCCTCAGGCGCATCGGGTATATGGGAAGAGCACCAATATTTTTACAGACTAATCGGCACTCGGTGGGTAATGTGGTCAGCATTACGCCGGCCGCCTTTACTTTCCCAAGACAGCCATCCTGGTACCCATTTGAGGCTGGGTCGACCTGCGACGTCCCAGACCACGATAAAAATCCACGCAGCCACAGTGGGTTTCGATCGCGGTATATTGGATTACGAGTCAGACTCGCAATGCCTTAGCCACGGACGCCGCTGTTCTCATGTCTTAGTGTGTAATTAATTCACTACATTCACTTCTCATTTCTTATGCCACAGTCAAGTAATAATTTTACTACATTCACTTCTCATGTCTTAGTGTGTAATTAATTCACTAAATTCACTTCTCATTTCTTAGTGTTTAATTAATTCACTACATTCACTGCTCATTTCTTATGCGACAGTCATGTAATAATTTCACTACTTTCACTTCTTATGTCTCAGTCGTAAAATAAATTTACTACATTAACTTCTTATTTCTTATGTCTCAATGTCTCAGCTGTGTAATAAATTCACTACATTCACTTCTCATTAGCCTTTTTACATCTATTCTGCCATTACTTCAAGAGCAAATCCTTTATATCTATATTTATGTCAAATATAAATAAATTATTTTTTTGTACACTGGATTAACAAGGGTCTTAGATTAGAGACATCATGCCGCTCTAGACAAAAGACAAAAAGACTGATCATATTTTGAGATTTTTTAAAGCAAATCAAATAACCTGAAGAAAACAATTGCAAACATATAGAAAGGAATTTTTTTTTAAACACATTTTTTGTGAAAGCTGGTAAACCACTTACCTCGATCATCAGTTTTCACATGACAGCTAAATTTTACCAGTGGAACCTGGCTTGTCTTTCTGAAAATTGTGAATAGTAATTTATTAAACTGTTAAAATAATTAAGGTCACATACGTATGTAATTTTATAAACTAAATATACTGGGCACATGTCCAGCAGAAACGCCTGAAGTATGCATGTGAAATGGATTACATAAATGAGAATGTCTAAAAGAAACCCTAAGATAACATTACTGTTATACGTGACAAAGGGCTTGCAGCTGATTCTTCCATTCAAATCTATCCTGTGAAACTGTTTCAATATCATGGATAAAATCTAGTCCAGCACCTTTGGAGTCTCTCAATGTTGAACTTAAAGTCTGTTACAATACTTCTTTACAATAGTAGATTCTGACAATGAAAGTTAAATAAGCATCAAATTCTTTTACTTCTGTCCAATGGACCATAGGCCGAGAATCAACTTGCGCCAGGTCATCATATCCGTTGCCCTGCAGCTGATTCTGTGACCTCCCTATCTATCCATCTTACGCTATGAACTTTTTTTTTAATGGATTTTTTTTTTGGGGGGGAGGGGTGGTGGGTCATCCTTTATTTCTTTGGCCACGTGAGTTCCAGTACAAGACATTTTAGTTAACCTGTGTGTCACACCCAGGGCTAGCTTCTTTTCCTTACTCCTGATTCTCTGTAATTTGTTTTGTTCTCATGAAACTCCATATTAGTGATTCCTTTACACCATTTAATTCCCTCTATTCTACACAAGTATATATAACATAATGAATGTTTGTGTTTTATTATTAACTGTTTTAATTCTTCTCCCATTTACAGTTTTAAAATACTCTTAATTTGGTATAAGGCTTAATTTCCTTTGACTTGCATAGAGTTTACAAGCGCTATGAAAGCATCTTTCACAGACTGTACTGCAGATTTGCTCTTTCGCAGCACAACACTGTTTAACTAAGATACAGATTTTACTATAAATCTGGCTCACCCAGCTACAAATCTGGTGTTTATCTAAACATCTAGGCATCACCATCCATAGATCTAGGATTCCTCATCTGCAGGTCTAGGCTTCCTCATCTAGATTTAAACTTCCCCATCTACAGGTTTTTGGCTTTCCCATCTACAGATCTAAGCTTCCCCATCAACATATCTAGGTTTCCCTCTCTACAGATCTAGGCTTCCCCTATTACAGATCTAGGCTTCCCCATCTACAGATATAGACTTCCCCATCCACAGATCTAGGCTTCCCAAACTTCATATCTAGGCTTCCCCATCTACAGATTAAGGCTTCCTCATCTACAGATTAAGACATTCCCTTCTACTTGGAACTTGGAAAAAGTAAACAAAAATGTCAAACTTTGTCCTCTTTCAGCCGCCCGAAGGCCTGCTTTATCGAGGACGGTTTCGTTGCTATCTGACTGAGTTTGATTGTGTGTGGCGAACGTTTTCGCCTAAGTTTGGTTTATTTGCTGCTGCATAATGTCTGGTCGATCATGCTTGGTGGGCGTAGTCCGGTTTTTTGGGAGTGGATTTGGTAGCCCTAAGAAGGGCTGCCATTTTTGCCTGGGGCGGCCTGGAACGGGAATGGGCCAGGTCTCATCATGGCTGTCTTCTTCTATCAGGTCTGGCGATCGTTTGGTGTGCTGTCCGTGAAGATGGCGGCGTATTCATTGGGCTCTTCCCCATCTACAGATCTAGGCTTCCTTATATACTGGTTTCAGCTTCTCAGTCTAAAGGCCTAGGCTTCCCCATCTACACATTTAGGCTTCTCTTCTGAGGTTCCAACTTCATTGCAGATGGATTGCCCCATTACTACTCTATTCCTGTGCCAGTAAAATAAAAAGAAAATGCCCTTTACTGTCCCAACTGACAGCTAATGAAAAAATGGCAGTCCCAGTAACATCTTGAAGCTTGTACACACAAAATAAATGCTAAGGCAACTGTCCATCACATGTGCCAATACAAAAAAGTCCAATACCAAAACTGCAGTTCACTGTTGACATGAGCAGTCCATACAAAAGCCGGCATTGCACATGCAATACTGTATAAGTAAATCCCACTCCAAATGTATTCAGCAATATGTTATTGTCAGTACAGTTCATAACAAAATGCTGTCACAGGCACTAAAGGAAGAAAAAAGAACATTCTAAGTGAAATCCACAGCTCAGTGTCGCACCAAGCAGCAAACTCAATAGCTGAGTGATGGGACCTTTGGACTCCCAGTTCAGAAATAGGAATTTGCATCAGCCAACCTTGGCTAGAAACAAATAACTTTTCAGAGCATCAGCAGTAAGCCAGCGATATGCCATATTGGACTGAAAGTCTACAAGCCTCAGCTTTCCCATCTACAGCTTTGAGATTCCCTATCTACAGGTTTAAGATTTCCCATCTACAGTTTTAAGATCCCTTATCTATAGGAGTAGCATTTCCCATATACAAGTCTCAGTTTCCTTATCTACAGACTAGGCTTCCCTATATACAATAGTATATTATCAAGATAATTAAAATGCTGACTTACAGAGTCACCTGTTCATCAGTCCATGGTGGCAAGTAGCTTCCAGCTCCGAGCAGCAGCTCTGCGACAATATTCAACCGACGCAACAAATCTTCTCTGAAAAATGTACAAATAGAATATTCAAACTGAGTTATTTTTCAGATAGTGTGATGTCTGGTTTTTGTTACAGGTAAATGTGTTAGGTATGCAACATATAACAAGGATGCTAATCAATACTGCAGACAGAACTTAAAATCCTCAGTGAAGTATCTGCTCTATTCCACTTCTTCTTCTTCTTCTTCAGTGCCTTGTCTAGAGAAGATATTGGCGTTCATGATCCTTCTTTTGTCTGGTATCTGGCAATTTATCAAGCTGACAGTTTGTTCACTGCCCAGATGTTAAAGCTTTCAGCATATACTGTTTTCTTATCTTACCTAGTACATTCCCATGTAAGGATAATTTATTTATTCTAGCGCTTCTGTTAACATGCCACATACATCTTAATAAATTTAATTTGCCTTATCTTTAGTGTTGACGCATGATTTAGTAATACTTGCAGAAGTCAATACCTCAATACTTGTTTCTATGTTTATTATATTATCATCATTCTCCCAAAATAGTTCAGTCATTTGCCATATCTGCTGGTTCACGAAGGAAGTCTAAAGATTTAAAAGTCACTGCTGGAGCTACAGAGTTTCATGCTAATGCTCTGCAGAGCATGCCATACATATGGGATCAAACCTGAAGTCATCTTCTTCTGTGTTTGCTCTGGTTTTAGCTCGGCTTCAATATCTGCGCCTTTCGGCCCAACACATCCAGTTAGTGTATAAGTCCTTACGTCCTTTTCAGGACGTAATTTTTTGTTATTTGAAGCCCCACTCTGGCTTTTGCCAGGGGCCGCAATATAGGCAGGCCATAAAAATGGCCAAATGTCTGAACGCAGTTTCTGGGACCTCTCCACGGTGATCCTCATCCACATGGTGGCACGTTGTGTCATCGGGTGTTTATCGCTTGTGTGATGTCCTAGTGGGGTAGAAAGTCACTCACTCACTCAACACATCCAGTTACAGCAAACTCTTATTTCCATTTTACAACATGCTTGATAAGGGGCAGTGAATCTGTCTCCCGTTCTCCCACCCTCCACCACCAAGAAAAAATGGGCCAGCAGAACCCACACAGTGGTAATGATTTTGCCTCCTGTATACATAATTGACACCACATCATCACCGTCCCCAGCTTTTCAACCATGTCAATGCTAATTGTCCAGGCATTCACTATGAATCCATTTATACTATTGAACCTAAGGATACTCACTTAGATATCTCATGGGTAGAACTGAAAGTGTGCAAAAATTCCAGCTCAGGTACCAGGACAGTGTCCACAATTTCCTGTGCCAGGTCCAGTTCATCCGATGATGGAATGTGCCACTGAACATTCAAGTTTTCCAGATCCCCAGGTTTACCCCAATCCTAGGAAGAAACAAAGACAACAATAGTGAAGTTAAAATAAAACTCCTGACACATGTATTACTCACTGACCTAGCAGCTCCTCTTCTACCCTGAGATGTGGAAGTTAGCAAGAGAGATCACCAGGCTTCGCTATCAGTGGTTTTCTTTTCTGGGCTTTGTTTCATTTCAGTCCTCTGCTAAAGACTGTTGAAAGTTGTCTTTCCAGTGAGCCCTGGGTCATCCTGGAAGTCTGGTTCCCTGATTCTTGGCTTCCAACGCCTGCCGTGGTGGCCGATTCTCTCCCATTCTGTATACATGTCAAAATCATTGTAAGTGTGACTGATCCACTCAAGTTTGTAAGGTCTGGTTTTCAAGTCATGACGTACTGTCTGGTCGCAAACTTTATCCCTTCTTGTCATTTGGACCACCTTTCTCAGATATCTCATTTCTGAAGCCTTTAGGTAGCTTCTGTGAGCTGTTGTCACTACCCATGACTTACACCAGTTGGTCAAGACTGGGACACATTTATTATAACTTACCCCAACCCCAGGAAGAAACATAAACTGTGTAGTGATGGTTAACACAAAATAGTGAAGGTTGGCTGCACTTACTGCTGTCTTTGAGAAGATTATGTGGTAAGACCCCAGTTTCTTTCACAGCACAACTCTTGTTCACAGCACAAAAGCCACAGGAATGGTTAATTTTACCTTAATAAATTGTGTTATAATCACAAAACAAATATATTTATTGTTTACCCTAAATCTAAGAAGATGCACAAACCTGAGTAGTTATGACATATTTATCCTTTACATTTTAACAATAGGCTAAGACAATTCAGAGGTAGATTTGATAACAACCCCCCCACCCCCAAAAAAACAGTTATAAGCAAAAACTAGCTACAGGATCTTGAAGGGAATTAGGACAGAGTGCAAGATCCCACAATCTTATTTATAGAAACCAATCAGCGCTCATGGGTGATGTGATTAAGACTGCCAAAACTTCCCAGCACATTTCTTGGTCCCCATTTTAATGTGTACTTACCAGGAAGTCTAGGTCGTTTTTTAAAACAAGTATCCTAACAACTGCACTACCCAAAATTAAAACTAGATATGAATTAAGATAATTAATATTCTTTGTCATTTTTATAAACATTATAACTAACAGATCCGTTGATCAGAGAAGAAAATTATAAAATTATATATCTTTTCAAAACAATGTAGGAATAATATTATGAACTCACAGATCTATTCACATTAATCAAGGTAGAATTTTATTACTTACAGATCTATTCCCAATAAATTAGGAAGATTATTGTTATTTAAAGGTCTCTTTTCATTACTTAAGGAGATATATTATTTTTTAAAGATCTCTTCTCATTAATAATCAAGGGAAAATATTAATTATAAATTATAAATCTGTTCAAATTAACCAATTCAGAACAAATTATTATCACTTACAGATCAATTCAAATTAATAAAAACTTGAATGCATACAGATAAAGTATTGCGGGTAATCTGGGACATATAAGAGACACACCAGTAGTATGTATGCGATATTTACTTGAACTGCCGACTATTACTGACAATCTCATACCATATTGCAGCAAGCAAAGTCATATCTCAGAGTAGCCACTGACAAAAAATACTGCATGAAGTCTTCGAGAGAGCAAAGGGTCACAAACTAAAAATAGGAAGGTCTTGGATGGTGCAAGCTGAAGATGCAATTAGACACTGCAGAGGTACAAACAAATAATCATCATCTAAAGAGAAGGGGGCAGAGTAGCGTGACCAAGGTATCTGTCTAATACTTAAAAATCAGGGAAAAAGCAAGAGAGACATACTATCAGACTGCTATGGGCATCATCATAACTAGAACTCTTAGCTGGCTGCTGTATATGGGGACAGAGCACTTATGAGAATGTCCAGAGTGCTATGATGTTGGTTCTTAACTCATCACTTTGATCAAGAAAGAGACATCTAGTAACAGAGCACACAAGTGCATTACCAATAAATAAAAACATACTTTCATCATCATCATTAGTCTGTTGAAAAAAGTCACATTGGGCTCACATTCAATTCCTCCACTCCGCTTTGTTGCATGCAACTCCTCTCGATTTCTGACATGTTCAGTCCAGAGTTTTTAGCTTCTCGTAATAATGTTCTTCTAAATGTTTCCATTGGAAGTCCTTTTTATCTCAGACCGTTTGTTTCCTATTTTAGTGATAGTTTTTTATTCTTTGCTCATTTCATATTAGAGTGTGCCCAAAATATCTCCACCTTCTTTGTCTTATTGCAGTTGATACAGGTATTCGTCTAGACCAGCATGTGGGTCCTGGCCATTTTTTGGGTTGAACTACCCTTTCACAGGGGTCACCTAAAGACCATCATTGAAGTTATGAAGTAGCAACAAAAATAAGTGTATGGTTGTGGGTCACCACAACATGAGGAACTGTATTAAAGGGTCACCACAACATGAGGAACTGTATTAAAGGGTCACCACAACATGAGGAACTGTATTAAAGGGTCACCACAACATGAGGAACTGTATTAAAGGGTCGCAGCATTAGGAAGGTTGAGAGCCACTGGTCTAGAACATTTCTCTGACCTATTCACTTTTTTCTTAAATTCATTGTTCATTCTTTTTTCTTGGACATTTATTTAAAAACATACTTTAATAGGCATATATTCTGTGAAGGGCTTGTCAAAGTCTTCATCAACACTTTTGAGGCTGAGTGGGTGTATTTGTGTCAGTGCCCGTAAAAAGTGCTTCAGGAACTGCCCAGACACTTCAAAGCCAAAGACACTCTTGAGCTTGAGAACACTCTGTAGAACCTCCAGCAACTGAGTCTTGTAGGGAAGCAAAGCAGCTCCATCGCATCGCACAGCCTGAAAGCAACAGATACATATGTTCTTCGATGTGCATTGTCTCTCATCGGATGAAATTTCAAGAGGTAGCAGAGAATATTTTTTCAGAGAAGATATGATATAGAACTGCCAGCAAATGTTAGATATGCTGGGTCACCAAACCTATTTCTTCTTTACCATTCACCTTTAAGGGTGGTTTGTATGTTGTGGTTTACAGCTAGGCTATGATATCCGCACCTTTCATCCCAAACCCTAACCCTTAAATAGTCCCCTTTCATGTATTGCTTGTTAAATGAGGAGTAGGTCTATTCATTCTTCCCCCAAAATAAAGTCTCTGAATCCACTCAAATGAAACATATAAATGACATTAAGGTCAATATGCCACAGTGCGTAGTGGTCAGCACAATTATCAACCAGTTTCCAGAACAGACAAAGTAATGTTTTTCCCAACTTTTCCTGTCCTGTGGTCCAGACAAGCCAAATAAAAGGAGTACCTGAAAATCTTTTGGAAAGATTGATTTGATGAGTAAGGAGGCTAAGGAAGGTGGTCATCCTTCATCAAATGTGATCTAGAATATGCGAAGGCCTAACACCCCAATAGTAACATCTTCTATGGATACCACATGGGACTACCATTTAAACCACACAAATTTCTTCACAAATAGCTGTCCTCACTGCAAGTTGTTTGTTTAAAACTCTGTGCCCCTTTTTCTGCAGAATGGCCCAGTGCCACATCATTATCTCCCTTGCTCTATGACATTTCCAGTACAGTAAAATATACAGATTTATGCTCTGAGCCTCTTCTCTCTCTCTCCCTCTCTTTCGTGTGTGCGCGTGTGTGGGGTGGTGTGTGGCTCTCTTTCTTTCATATGTGTGTGTGTGGGGTGTTGTGTGGCTCTCTTTCTTTCGCGCGTGTGTGTGTGTGTGTGTGTGTGTGTGTGTGTGTGTGTGTGTGTGCGTGCGTGCATGTGTGTGTGTGTGTGGGGGGGGGAGGGGTAGTTTGGGGACAGAAAGAGAGAGAGAACAAGCTATAATTAACCACACATTAAAAACGTAGTCAGTCACTAGCACCTAAACTTTTCACATTAAAAGATTTGTACTACAAGTTACATCATAATTATATTTCAGCAAGGCCATTTTTTGTTAACTGATAAACCACAGTATATAAATTACACAAGCATAGCCCACAATTCCATTCTACAATGTTGTGTGGTCTGGCCAACAATTCTACTCCTGGCATTAAATCTGTGAGTGAGCCTACATATAACTGTTTGAGTACATAAATCTGCTTGCGTACTGCATTTACAATCAAACATGTGCAACAATGACAAATCGTGTAAGAGTGTACACAACCTCTGCTTAGACAGAACACTGCACTTCACACTAACAAAAAGAATATCACTGATATATTGTGCTTGCTGAATGAATAAATGAGGGATCTTCAGTGTAGTTATGAAAAGCTTCAGTTGATCTCTCAGTCTTGCAATAAAAATAAACTTACATGAGAAAGAATTATCAGGTTCCATAAGAAGGTGTTATCCAGATGCTCTTCATTATAAGCACCAGGATCTGTATATAAATATGGAAGAATATACATGCAAATTAAGTATGGAATTACATAGGTAGAGAGAATACAGATGTGTTTTAAGTATGGATGATATTATATTCATATTATGTATGAAAAATATAGATGTGTATAATCTATAGACAATATTACATGTTTATTAAGTATGCTTAAAGAAAAATGCTTAAAATTCTTTGGAGAGCCAGAATGAGTAATTCTGAAAAAGCAAGTGCTCTAAGACATCTGATTTTGGAAAACGACAGTTATGGTTTTTGGCCATGTTATGTTCATTGTTCATTTCTGAGATTATCTTTATCACAGATCAGACATGATCATAAGTGCTGTGATCTCCTTCTGCACATGTCTCCAAGTGTTATTAAGCTAACAACTCCCATTCTATTCTGGTTTGTGTGACGGGGGGCTCCTGCATTGTTTTCCTATGTTATGAAACCGTGTTAAGAAAAGCAGGAAACGGAAACATGTGACAAAAAGAAAGATTTGTGGAATGAAAGATAAAGACAATGTGAGAAATTTTTTGACAGCTTTTTGTCATGGCAGGGAAGGGTACCGGATGGGCACATGAACTAATACATGATGATAGAGGCCACAAGTCGTGGAGAGCAGGATCATACATGCCAGCCGGCAAGGCTCCTGGTGATGATGATTAAGCATGGAAAAATATTCATGTGTATGATGTATGAGTTAGCATATGTGGCTTAGGTGTAGCAAATGTGGTTTGTAATTCCAATATATCCAGTTTAATTCCAGCTGCTTGTGATCTGACAGCAGACAACTCTGCATTGGTTCAGACAACAGTATTGAGAGCTAACTGTTCAGAAAGGAGTGGCAAACTACTAAATGTAAAACTGCCTAGTCAAATCACAAACAGCAACAACAAAAAATGCTGGGGTTAGTTCTGCAATGCCTTCTAAAGGACAAGCAACTAATTAAAAAAAAATATTTTGTATAGAAAACGTGTGTAGATAATCTATAAATCAGTCTAGATTCTTATGTTGTAAAGCAAGGTCATTCAACTAGCGGCATGTGGGCCAAATTTGGCCAAGGAAAGCCTGGCAAGTGGTCCCAGATCACTGCCAATTGTACTGTATTAATGATCTTTCTATGCCAGGGTGCTAACAGGGTTGAGTTTTGGAGGCCTCCACTACTTTCTTGGAGAAATCACTGGCAATTTATTTCATAATGTTAAACAGCCCCTGAAAAATTCACCCCAGCAACTTCTAAATATCTAAAACTGTGATCACTGTGTTGGTAGTGAATGCTCTAAGCAGAGCTTTTTTTTCTGGTGGTACACAGTACAAGAATCTTGTTTAATTTTTACTTTTTTTTTTTAGAGGCATTATTTTTATTTTTTTAGACTTACTGTGACACTTTGGGGTGAGTACTGGTAAATTTGTAGGCACTCTGTGGTGAGTACAACAAACCAACTGCTTTTTAACAAGTGTATCATAAAAGACAACTAATTAAGGGTTTGTTGAAATTAAATGTGTTCATGGAAAAGGAGCAGATATCGTAGCATAGCTGTAAACCACAATAAAACACGTCAACCACCCTTTTAACACTGCTGTCGTCCCCCCCCCCCCCCCCACAATGAAATTTGAAGAAAACGGGTAATTTTTTATTTTTTTAAAGATTTCTACAGGGCGTATGAGTTAAGGGCAAGCATAGAAGAACAAACATAACTAGAGGTATTGGTGGAAAGAAAGGAAGAGAGCAAGAGAAGATTCTTAACAGCGTTTTATTATGGCACAGACTTATTCTTTTGTGTATGCCCTCAAAAGAGCAGCTGGCATATTAAGTACTGGACTGCAGACAGGCTGCGATATCTGCGATTTTCATCCTAACACATCCAATTTCAGCAAGCATTATTAGTCGCCTTTTATGGCATGACTGTTAGGCAGGCAGTGGGCCTATACTTTTTATTTTCGTCCAAAAGAGGCCCTAAAACACATCAGGAAATGGCGAGGACAAATAGCATGTGAACATACATTTTATTGGAGCTGGCAATGGTACGGACGTGTAATTAGCTATAATGGCTTCTCAAAAAACAATATTACAGGGCTCAGTAGAGGGGAAGATGAGAAGAAGCGGACCAAGAAACATCTGGATACAGAACTTGACCAAGAGAGACCTGGATACAGAACTTGACCAAGAAAGATCTGGATACAGAACTTGACTGACTGGACAGACGGTAGGCATGCAACCGTGAAGTCCATTGCATCTGACCATAAAAGTTGGAAGTAGCTGATCAGTCAGTCAACAGCAATTGGTGACCCAACAACTCACAATGTAAGGGACGATGATGACGATAATGATGATGGTGGAGCTTACAATATGCGGAAAACATGGCACAACATACAACAACAATGGCAACAAAAACTTACGGTCCTGTAAGAAGACCAGAATGTTTGAGCACAGATGTGGAATAAACATCTTCAGGCCAATCTCTGGTTTTGCCTGATGAAAGAATAAAAGTAACATTAAGACTTCTTAATAGTTTCAAGACTCTCTAACAGCCTTCTCCTTCAGTGATCTCTGGTCATATGCTTAATCCATGTGGGCCTTAAACTGGGATGTCATCTCAAAGTCTCTTAGGTTCCCCAAAGCTTAGTTGTCAGGTCTACTGGGTGTGGCCACAAGTTGCTTCACAGCTCATCCAGGTGAAGACAATCTTGAAAGAAGACGTGCTCTGGAATCTGTTTAGGACGAACACACTAGCAGAGAGTTGATGGGCTCATACCTAATTTATATGAGTGTCTGTTGAGTCTGTAGTGACCAGTGCATAAGCATCCCAACATGAAAACAAAAAAATCATAGCTGTCTCCACAATGAAGACTGGTGCTTTCACCCAATGTTTATCAACTACATTTAATAAATTGACCTTATCATCCTTTTCAATCAAAAATTTTTATGAGACTGTCCCAAAGCATATGAAAAAAACTAATACTTATAAAAGGTTTTAAACAATGAAATGTGTAAAATACAGATAAGTAAGATCTGTAAAACATGTGCATGCAAAACTCAAGACAAAAGTCCAGGAGTGGACGAACAACCAGAACTTTCCATTGGAGTTTACAGATGGTGAATGCACACCACAAAAAACAAACAAAAAACAGCAGGAGGAGGAGGAGCAGAAGAACAACAAAAAGAAGAGCAGCAGGAGAAAAAGAAGAACAGCCATGACTCACTCGGATAGCTGCCCTGACCAAATGGGCTGTCAGCTTCCCACTCACTTTGACTTCAAACACATTGGAGAAGACAAATTCCCGAATTTTCTTCAAGGCACTCTGAAATCAAAAGTAACAGCATTCACAACTTAGTCTGCACATTTTACAAACTGTGTGCATTGACAATTAGCTAGTCACAACAGGGAAACTGAAATAAAAACATACACAGATTTTGCCAATAGAGAATCAACTTGTTGAGAAACAAAAAGTTAAAAAAAAAACACACAAAAAACAGCACATACTCCTAGACAGGTTTCATATTGAACATAATCAATTTATTGCAATACAAAAATTGGAATAAAGACATAGATCTTGCCACCCCCCCCCCCCCCCCCCCCCCCCCAAAACACCCACCCAACTTTCAGTACTGAATTAGTAAGTCACATTATAAAAATTAAAACAGCACATAGTTCTAGTCATTTTTCAAACTGTGTTAACAGAAAAATAGCAAGTTGCAATTCATACAAAAACTAAAACAGGTCACATAATAGTATTCATTATTTTTTCCAAGCTGTCAATGAAATGTTAGCAAACTAGCAGAGAGGAAGAAAGTGAGCATGAGTGCCTTCCTGCCGGCATGGTGGTCGTGTGTTCAAATCTCCAACAAATATGGGATTTAAAAAAACTGACCGTCTCCCATCGACTTAGCCTTAAATGGATACCAGAAAACTTCTGGGGACCTTAAAGTGGCTAGTCTCATATATACCAGTGTTCCTCAAATTGTTTACCCCTGTGGCTCACCAAAACAGGGCAAACTGTTTCCCAACCCACCTGACAGTCAACCAAACACAAAAACAACAATAAATGCAGACAGCCGTTTATTTGCTAATTCCGACATCACAAAATAAACATTTTCAACTGATGCGACATTTCTGAATTTTATTATCAAAGTGTTCATCCCACAGTCTGCAATCCTGGAAAAGAAAGACTGCCTACCCTAACCAGTTACATGATACGGCATATTCTTTTTATGGCCCATCTGGACTTTTCTGTAACCCAAAAGTGGGCCGCGCTCCACCGGTTCAAGAAAACCTATTAAAATATGGGGCGTGCACGGTATTACCCCAGATGCCTTACTTTACGGTACTTTTTTTTTTTTTTTTTACTAGAAGCCAGCAAAGTTTTGGTCAGTCTGAAACCATAAAAAGGTAAGTTAATAGAGAACTAACTGATGACAACACAAAATACAGAAAAAATTGCACAGTTCTTGTCAGTCTGAAAGCAAGTCAATAGAGAACTAACTAATGACAACACAAAATACAGAAGAGATCACACAGTTCTTGTCAGTCTGAAAGCAAGTTAATAGAGAACTAACTGAAGACAATACAAAATACAGAAGAGATAACACAGTTCCAGTCAGTCTGAAAGCAAGTTTATAGAGAACTAACTGATGACAATACAAAAGATAGAAGAGATTACACAGTTCTAGTCAGTCTGAAAGCAAGTTTATAGAGAACTAACTGATGACAACACAAAATATAGAAGAGACTGCACAGTGCTTGTCAGTCTGAAAGAGAACTAACTGATGACAACACAAAATGCAAGAAGAGATCACACAGTTCTTGTCAGTCTGAAAGAGAACTAACTGATGACAACACAAAATACAGAAGAGATCGCAAGTTCTTGCCAGTCCGAAAGCAAGTTAATAGAGAACTAACTGATGGCAACACAAAATACAGAAGAGATCACACAGTTCTTGTCAGTCTGAAAGCAAGTTAATAGAGAACTAATTGATGACAACACAAAATACAGAAGAGATCACACAGTTCTTGTCAGTCAGAAACCGAGTCAGCGGAGAACTAATTGATGACAACACAAAATATAGAAGAGATCACACAATTCTGACCATGTAGATGGGTGTAGAGCATTGCTGCAACATGGCAGAGACTGTCGATGCCAGCCCCACTTCCAACACTGACTGTTCTGGGGTCTGTCTCTCTATGGCACCCACAGACGTGCCTTCCTGGCTGCTGTGCTCGATTAGATTCTGTATTCTGCAAAATTCAATGTAAATTGCTTGTTACTATGTGTTTTAAATGTTATGCATGAAAACTCCTGTTTCTTCTTCTGCCTTTGTCCTTAGGGGGCAGCTGGCACACTGTGTTGTGGTTTACAGCTAGGCTGTAATATCAGCAACGTTCTGCACATATTATTTCAGCAAACCCTTGGCAGAGGCTGTTCTTCTCTCTTCTTCCCTTCCCACAACTAGAGCCTTGAAATATACAGTTAGGAAGGAAACAGGAAAAGGCCAACCATATCTCATATGTTGTGACCTAGAATTTATGAAGGCCGCCGACTGTTTCACATCCCAATATAGTATCTGTTATGGGACAAACTTGACATATTTTTTCAACAGACGATTATTCAGTTCAATAATATTATAAACACAGGCTTTATAAATTAAGATCTTCTTATCATTCATAAGCTGTAAACTCCACAGGAAACTTTTGTTTGTTCGTCCACCTCTGAACTTTAGTCATGTTCCAGAACTTGAGTTCTGGGTGCACATCCATTTTGCTGATTTGGCTTATTTATAGGCAGACTGTTAGTTCCTCAGCTCTCAGGCAGATGTACTGACTTCAAAGAAAATACCTATAGTTAGTTGACTTTTATGGCACACTTATAAGGGACAGTGGATCTACTCCCCCCCCCCCCCCCCCCCCCAATGCACCCCGGAAATCCACATGGAGACATTATTGCTCATATCTTATATTTTTCCTCTTAATAAATGAATTCTGAGAATTTGTCTTCATTTAGTTTTAAGTTCACAAGTTCTTATTTTTTTTCTTTAGTGACTGAGAAACTGCTTTCTGCATTCATGTGGTTTTTGTCACATCAGCTTTAGAGATCTTTTAAACTACCAGGGTACAGAGTACTCTACTCAGCTGGGGGGGGAAGGGGGGTGTGCGTATTGTTGCGAACATAAAAAATTCCTTAGCAGTTGGAACAGCGCTGCGCGGGCAAAATTTTTAAGTTAAAAATCTAAGTATTTCAGGATCCTCACTAGTGCTACGGAGTACACGAAGTGTGCTGAGATTCTTCGGACTCAAGCTTTAGTTAGAAGTAGAACTAAGCACTTATGGGTTACCACCCTTGTGCCATGATGTTGATCCGTTGTATTAACAAACAAACTCAGCTGGGCTCTTGTTGACGGCAAAGGTCACTCAGAGGTTTCTTACTTGTAAATAATAAACTATAATTATAATATAACTCTATAATCCAGTTTCACGCCTAACACAATACACCTCAACACCCCCCCCCCCTTTTTTTTCCCCTTTAAAACTTACAACACAGCAGCCAAACAGAACCATCCCATGCTTTCAAATTTAGTACATAAGGTATTCTATTAATGCCTTTCATGTATTACTGTGTACATTACGTGAAACTGAAGCAAAAGGTGCTGGAGGATGGGACAGTATGAATTATACTTCATTATCACATTTTTTTCTGATGGTTGCCTGCAATACCTTATGCATTGCCAATAACGTGATCAATTTAAATCAATTTAAATACATGCTTATAATTCAGAGTACATAAAGCAACTGAAATAACCAACTATCTTACCTGTCAAGAAAAGATAAAACATAGTCCTCAAACTGAGCTGTTGCAGAGCAAAGGTCTTTTTCATGCTAACAAACACAAAGGAAAGACAATATTAAAAATATGCTGTTTCAAAGTATTTCACTTGGAAATTGGAAAAGTGAATAGATTATTGTACCTAAATTTTTAACTTTTCTTCTTTACCTTCATCAGCTACAAACTGTGGGCGGTAATTTCTGGTTGTTGTGTCCACTTCTGGACTTTAGTCTTGTTTCAAAACTGGAGTTTTGCGTGCACAACCATTATGCAAATCTGACTTATTTGTAAACAGAATGTTAATCCCAGGTAGATGCACTCCGATTTCAAAAGAAAACCTCCCGCATTAGTCAACTTTTATGACATACTTGTTAAGAAGAGGCAGCAATTTCTTTATCCTCACTCCCTCAACCACCCCCACCCCCACCCCCCCCCTCCCCCCAATGCCTCTCAATAAGGCCCCTGAAATCCACATGAGAAAAAGTTTCAACATTTTATGAGCTGTGATATTCTCAGTATCACTTATACTGAATGCTCTAACGGGATGCAGAAGTGTATACCCACATGTGCCAGTGGTGCACCAGAACGAGGGCTCAAACTGGCTAACAGAGATAGGATCAAATTTTCCTCTCAAGTCGAAGTGCCTCGGTCTGAGTGGCAAGAAACTAACATCTAAACACAATATGCCAGATCTGTTTAACGGATATGCTCACAACTCTCAGGTACTTGAATAAGATCAAAGTTAAGACTGACAAGGTTAAACAACAAGGAATTTCCACCATAGTTCACAACCAGTAAATTCGGAAGAAACAATTAAAAGATATTTGACATTCACTAAACAAAACTAGAGGTCTCAATGCAGCTTCAATGGCAAAGTTGTCAAGACTTGTATGCTGCGTGCTGGAAGCCATGGGTTTGTTTTATAATGTATTGTTTAATTAAAGAACTGAGGAAAATTATCCGAGATAAAACCTGGTACTATGAAGTCGAACCTATCACCTCTACTATTTGACACACATGTGCAATGCAAATGAAGAGGCTATAATAACACTTCAAATAATAATAACTAATATAATGAAAGGTGCTGAATATCCGCTCAAACCCACCACTCATTCTTTACTGGCATTTTGTACTTCTAGGACTCTATAATTGGTGTTCACAGAAAATACAGGTGTTACTTAATATCCTTCATGCTAAGATTCTTCTTCTTCTGCCCACCCCCCCCCCCCCCCCCCCCCCCCCCCCCCCCCCCCCCCCCCCCCGTGTGAAAATTAGACCCTGAACTAATTTGTCCCTAGCCATCCTTTCAATTCCTATCTCATCTTTTATGTAACTCTTGTTTCCGTTTTAGACGGAGGGGATAGAACAAGTGTAGGGATGTCCTGAGTGCAGTGAGGTCAATTCTTGATTCATTCATTCTTTCCGTTTTAGACCTGTTCACAACTGGTTGGCTTTTTAAGCTGAATCTGTTTAACTGATGGGGTAGCAACCACTAAACTAAACCACCCTTGGGGTCACCTTGTATAATATGCTTGTTGGGTGCAATGTTACTGTTCTTTGCTTCCCCTATGTACGAGCTCTGGTAATACATATGCAAGCGAAATTTGTGTATCTTCTTTCTTCTTCTTTAGTCTTTTTGTTTAATGCTGTAAAGCATCCTAAAGAGGTGTCAGATATAATTTGCAGTTTTTACTAGCTGCATAACTTGTGTGAATGTCATTATTCCATTTCTGTAGTGTCTCTTTTACTCCATCCATCCATGTCTTTCTGGGTTAGCCTCTTGCCTTGTTGCCAGTAGTGGTCATGTAGTACACGCTAGCTGCTGGGTTATTTGGTTCCATTCTAACCAGATGACCAACAATTTTGACATTATGTGAAATAATTTACCAGTATTGTGCCTACAGCTGTCATGAGTTCTTTGTTGATGACTCTTGTCTCTCTTTTTTTTTGTTAAATTCGCAGCATCTTATGCATCTCATAAGTTGTAACTTAGTGTATACAGTCTTCAAATCGATTATTAATTAGCCAACAAGCAAACAGATTATTCATTATTTGCTTCTAGTGGGGACAGTTCAAAAACAAAAATTAAAAACACAACTGTAGTGACAGATAGCTCACCTCTGTCAAACCTTGCACAGTGAAGCTAGCCTCGCTGCAGTCCACAATGGGTATTAGAGTGACAAATGTTGACACCATCTGAAGGGTGACCTGGTAAACATTAAATATAGAATTATATAACCTTTCATGTTTTGCTGATAAATCTATGCCTATTCCATTAGGCACTCATCGTGATGATGCAGTCAATGATCCTAGTGAAAAGATTTTGACTGCAATAGCAGGGGCCTTGTTAGCGCAGTTGATAAGAGACTCGCTTTTAAATCCAGCTGCAACTAGCTGCAGCCCACGGCGGGTGTTCAAAACGGTTACCAGGGTTCACCCAGCCTATATGTAATGGGTACCAGAGTTAACACTCTGGGGTAAATGAAGGAACGTCGCTGTAGCAACAGAGTTGCGTGTGGATGGCAACACAGGCGGACAGTTTCGTATCAGCTGTCCGTACTGGTGGCACAGAACTTATGATTTATAACCGTGTGCAATGACGCTGGTTCACATCTCCCAACTTTACTTTTTTTTTTTTTTTACTGTAATGATCACTGCAAAGATTTTGACTGCAATGATCATGATAATTGTATGCAGCATGGATTCTTACAAGCTTCAAAACTAACCAGATCTAGAAAAACAGACAATCCAACTTACTAGAGTTTTTTTGAAATCATTGGCATCTATTCCAGGCAGGGACAGTTTGAGCAATGGAAGCACATGGGAAGGGCCCTCTGGATAATACTTGGGTGAAGTCAGCATCGGTCGAATAACAGAAACAATGCAGATCATGCAGGCAATCAATCGGTGGGGTTCAATCAGGGTTTCCATGGCAGGATACATTCTGGTGAGACAGCAAAACTTATCAACTATAATAACAACAACAACCAAGAGAATACAATTAAACATGTCTTCCCTCACTCTGTATCTTTTCACATTTATCAACTGTCTAACCCACAGCTTCCTGAATTTGTATGTTGGTGACACATGTCAGACTAACATAATTTGGCGCCATGGTAATTCAGTTTACTAGAAAATAAGAGATTTAACAGAGGTTAACCTAATCCCATATAGGTTATAGGAACACATAAACAGATTGTAATAACCTAAATGTTTCATGAAACAACCTGTCTCATGAAAGCCTTTCACTTACATTGAAAGCAGGTAACATTTTCAAGATTAATATCACTGTTATAACTTATGAGTTACAACAACAACAAAAATTTAAAAACTCCAATAACCGGCAATACACCTTCACACTGCAGCCGACACACTAATGTGTCATGACACATAGTTTCAGAAGACTGTGGTCTAACTTTTGATGGGTGACGACTCTTTTTCTTATCCACATTTGTAACAAGATATAGGAATGGGGACAGTCTAAACCTGTGAGAGACTGAGTCTTTCCAGCTGGCAAAGATGAAAGCAATGTTCTGTGAAGTGTTCACATGCTACATAAACATAGTATCATGAGATGGGGTGTCCAGTTCCATAGCTCATTTCCTTTAGATCCCCAAAATTTTGAAAATTTATGAGGTGACTGAACCTTGAATACTGTCCTGCTTTGCTTTATTTTTTTTTTAATTTAGACCTTTTTCATTCAACTGGTGAACTGGACATATGATGCTGAGCTCATATTTTATTTGATTAGAGACTAATCAGCTTTCACCTATTCACCTAGGAAAATCTCCAGAAATGGCGCCTGGAATGTTAGAACTTTGCACAATGTAGGAAGGGCAGTGGAGGTGGTTAGAGAAATGAAACATTATAAGATTGGTATTAAAAAAACAAATCTCTGAAAAAGACCAGAGAGTGAAGTTAAAAAAAAGTAGGGAGGACAAAGGATGAGCTTCATGCAATAGCAAAGGGTAAGATTACTTGGCAGGAGCTGGCAGAGGGCCTGTGCTCCACTGGGGGATAATGGGCTTAAAAAAGACAACAGTTTTAAATATTATAATGCTGCAGCTCAATGCTTTAATTACATACTGAAGCCATCCTAGCATCCCCTCCACACTTCCTATTTACTTTAAAGACAGTGACTCACTTTTCTACCTCCAAGGCTGGGAAGACAACATCCGACAGTCCCTGACTGACAGAGGACAGGAATGAAACGAAGCCAGAAAGAAAACTGCTGACAGAGAAGTCTGGCGATCTCTCTGGCAAACCTCTATACCCCAAAATATAAGAGAAGCAACTAAGTAAAGTAAAGACTTACTTTTCTAACAAAGGAGGGGCAACAATCTCTGGCCTCAGTGTTGCCAGGTTTCGCAGGGCCATGGAAGCTTCCTGACTGCCAAACTTGCTGAACATGGCCACAAATAAAGATGATTTTAGGCTCTCAACAAACTCAGTGATCTGGGCATCTGTCAGTTTGTGTGAGTCTGGTATAGGAGGCAGCCATGACAATGCCTTGTATCTTTCTCTGTTAAGACATGTATGTCGCAAAACAAATTATAAATGTGATAAAAGGTACAACAGCGCAGTAACAAAAAACAGTCTCTAATAAATGTGTTTAAAAATAGAAGCAAATCCATTTTAAGCAACTAAAGTTAAGAAAGCATAAGAAATTCTAACCATGGTAATTACATTTTTTTCTTTTTCAAATTAAATCCTGTGTGGGTTCCAGAACCCCTTGTTGTAGAAAAATGAATAGACCCCTTGTCCCTCTAACAAGCATGTTTTAAAGGATTATTAATTAGGCATGTTTCCCTCAAGTGCTTCTACCTGAGAGGCAAGGAACCAAAGGACTGCATACATAAAAGCCAGACCTATCAGATGTGCATGCAAAACTCACATTAAAGTCCAGAAATAGACATACAACTAGAACATTTTGCTGGAGTTTACACCCGCTGAATGCTAAGCAGTAGAAGAAGATCAGATTAAAAAGCAAAATAAATCTGATTAAAATGTTTTGGCAGAAATTGTGATCTAAGTCTGATGTCATAGCACTCAGAAATTGCTAATGCGTGCTGCTTCCCTCAGAAAATGAAGAAGTGTGGACATTTACAGTTCCACTAGCCAATTGATTATCGAGAATCACCAGGAATTTTACAAGGCTGCATTTTACACTCTCCTTATTCCCTTTTTACAACAAGCTGAACAAACCTACAGCAAAAATAAGCAGAAACTTTTCTCAACATTTACAGTATTATAAACTACTAATCCCAACACGACACATCAACAACTTGAAGATCCTTACAGATCTACCCTAACACTTTGCTGAAGCAACTGGAGGAAGAGAAGAAGCCACCTTGATAGTAAATGTACTTGACTTCATATTTTCATTGTATATTAAAAGGAACTTTAGACCACCGTCATATTGAATATTATTGCAGGTAGAATGGAGTGGCTACTTTCTATTAAATAAAATACATATTTGTGTTGGCACTTCTGGCGGCTGCCTTATGCATTTAAAGCATGTGTACGCTACTGGCTTTGCTGAGACTGCAATATGCCTCAATTTTTACACAAGGGTCAGTGATGGACATTCTGTGCGGTTTTCACAAATATTTAGTTTGTAGGAGACAAAAATCTTTTCACTTAAATAACTGAGTAGCAACTGAATATGTAAATGATTTCATTTAAAAATTCCAGAATGAAGACAATAAGAATGAAGTGGTTTTTTTTTTTTTTTTTTTTTTTTTTTTTTTTTTAACTTTCAAATATATGTGAACATTTTTAAACCAAAACCGAAAAAAAAAAAAAAAAAAGATTTTATAAACATTTTCTAGAAATCGATTTTCCCCAATTCATATTAACATCTGAACATCTATAACATTACAATTCCTCCTGAAATATGTAGAATCCTAAGCATGTGTACGCTACTGGCTTTGCTGAGACTGCAGTATGCCTCAGTTTGTACCCAAGGGTCAGTGATGGACATTCTGTACGGTTTTCACAAATATTTTGTTTGTAGGAGACAAAAATCTTTTTACCTTTTAACTGAGTAGCAACTGAATATGTAAATGATTTCATTTAAAAATTACATGAAAATCAACAAGATATTTATTTACCTGCGCAATCTTCTCACAAACATTTTAGGAAGATTATGAAGAAAGGATCCCAGGCGAATCTAAAGCACATAATAAAACAAACATATGAATAAATTATAAAATTAGCTTACATCATTTATTTATTTAGAATTCTGCCTTTCTTCTTAAAAAATAGTTAAATAACTTCAGGTGGGGAGAGACTTAAAGCACAAGGTAAACACACACAAAAAGAAGAAAACATCAGAAGAACAGTAATTTGTATCCATGGTCAAGGCAGCAAGAAGCAGATCATTATATCTCCCTCGATACCAGAAACAAAGGGTAAAAGAGGAAGTGAAGGAGAAAAAGAAGAAAAAAAAGGAAATAACTTCAGGCAAGCAGCGAGAGTTTTTTTTTAAAGGCAATGGAAAAGAAAAGGGTTGAGTAATATGGAGGTGGAGAAGGAGGCAAATACAATAAAATTTAAATATACAACTTTGTCACTTACAAATAGTAGCTTCACACCAACAAAACAGTAAGTACAGAATGCCCCAATGTGCAATCCTACAATTTATACACTTCTGATATATCATCATGCAGTAATTTTTTTTTTAAACTGATGACTGGCACCCGTCCGTCTTTCCAGACGACATTGTTATAATGTGCTATGAAAAGGCTTAGGACTCAAAGCCCATGGAGATGGTGAGTGTGACTAGCAAGACCTGCCTGCATTAAGAAAAGTCATCCACAATTACAGCAGGGGATTTCAGGACATTTGTGATTGCTGTCAACATTTGTGCTTAATGTGTTTCTTCTCAGACACTCAGCTCTCATCCTTTATGCAATCATTTCTTCCTTCATTTTCATTTCCTACATGATGTGCCCCCGCCACACAACATAGTCCATGGCATTTGGTTCCCACGAGTCCACCTCAATAGCTGTATCATTCATGTACCTCTTGCACACATCTATATATCATAGTACAGGTCGGCCTCGACATCCTCTACTTATCTTTAATTCACCATAGAGGAAAACTAAGATATAAAACATACAAAACATTTGTGAAACAAACAATCATAAATCCATCCTATTGGAAAACTTACAGTCCATCTGCCAACATTAGATGGGTGATAGAAAGAGTGCAGTGCCTTGAACAGCTTTGTTATGTGCTCCTGGACACAGTCATCAGGACCACCCTGATTACAGAGTTTAAAAAAAAAGGCAGTTATAAATGCACAAATGGTTCCAGGTATGTAAATAAATTAATGAACAAGAACAGCAAAAATGGAGGTATTCAGAAAATGTCCATTAAGAAATGTATGAAATGTACAAAAATTAATCTGTCTCACAACATACACTTCAAGAATATATTCCTGAACATTATCCAGTCTCCATTTTATATGCTAGGATTAACCAATAGGATTAGCTTTGTCATTGTAACTAGTTTTACTCATGTGTTCATTTGAGCCTCAGTAATGGCATTAAATGTTGACGGAGCAGTGCTTTTTTTAGAAAATTATCTAGGCTCCCAGGTCGACCAAACCTTAAATGCGTACGAGGTAAACTTCTGGGAAGCAAAGTTGACCAGAGTGCCCATTGGTCTACAAAATAAAGATCTAGCCCTTCAGTACTTTTAATGGCATTATAGAGGCTTGTTGTTCATAACCTTTTCTTCTTCGTTCAGCCGAGGACACATATAGGTTGTGCCAGTTTACAACATGGCTGCGATCTATACTTCTTTTAGCCAATACATCTGACATATGCAGGCATTTGTTACCTACGTTAGCCTCCCCATTTAGTTTTGTGGGACACAGCACTCTTGTTGCTGTGTGGTCATCTTTGTTTCCTAGTCCACAGGTGGTGCCATCCATAAAGCTGGTTCAGGGCAGCTATATAAGGCAGGTCAGCCCTAAAGAGAAGGCACTGGTAGCACATGAGCAGTCTCTGCCATCCAAGAAGGTTTCCATAAATGCAGAGCCAGTAGAAAGTACAGGGTGCTCCACATGCTTTTGTGTTTTTGCTTGATATTCATAATATGCATATCATTTTATGAACATTACGTGCTTTACTGATAAAATGCAATCGCTGTGTGAAAGATGAGAGTTTGGAAGGGTCAAATGTAAGATCTGGTAATCTTAGTTTCAGCTTCATAGCAAACAGGTCACCACCATCTTTGCTCCGCTTCTATGCCAATGAAAAACACAGAGAATGTTTATCACAGTCCCTTGTTGAGAGGTTGACAGACTACTGTCTCAGCAAATCTAGCATACACACGCATTAAAAGCATACAGTAGCCATCCGAAGTGCTAACACAAACAGTCCGACATTAAAAATGCAGTTCATCATTGATGGTAGCAGATGTCACAAAAAAATCAGCAAATTTAAGATGGGCCTGTGTGCCCAATTTGTGACCCTTTGAAAATGAAGTTCGTTTGTTCGTTCGTTCGTACTGGGCTCAGCCAAAAGTTCAGAATTTAAAGATATAGGTTTTAAACTAGACATTGGGGTAAGATACAGATTATAAACTTAACGCCTGAAAGCATACATAACATGCTTTAAAAAAGAAAAATAATATCTGGACATACCATCATGCTCACAATCCAGGTTGATGTGTTCACAATTTCATATGCATTTTGGTTGCGATTGGGGATCAGCTGTTTTGCGCCTACTGGCAGACAAAAACTTCGCAGAAGCCGAGTGAAGATCTGTCAATAAGAATTGTGACAGTCAATGAAGTGATTACGATAGTGTTGGAATTTACAACTTATGACTGCAATAGTATTCAACTGTGAGAAATTTGACATCACAGAATTAATTACGTCTTTTTAAATTTTTTGACAAGTAAAGAACAGTGACACACCTCAGTTATTTTGCTTTCTTTTACAAGTAGGAGTTGAGCTGAGTCAGGAATTGACATCACAGCCATCGGGGAGTTCCATTGCATGCTCCGTCCTCATCTCCAGCAGCCAGCGCAGAGTTCCAATACTGATGGTACCGGTCACAATCTAGTTATATTGTCTGTCTTGCCTTTCCTCTGAGTGTAGTGAGCCGGTCAGACCCTCTGGTTACACCCAGGTGCCTCATTCTCTCCAGGCCACAATAATCTTGTTTCTTTACTGATTCTGTTACTTGTTCCAAAAGAGCCTTGACCACATCTGCCTTGTCATGTATCAATTCACCACCCAGTGGTGCAGATCCAGCCAATCTGTCTGCCTGTTCATTACCCACTACCCTGGCATAGCCTGGAGAAAAGATCCAAAGTATGCTCACTACCCGTGATCTTCCCAGTGAAACTTGCCACTCTGTTCGAAGCATCCCTGTCTTTACCTTTCTCGGCATGCCTTCAGAGTTGTTACAATTATGACGTGTATGCATTTCTCTAGAAATCTTTAGCAGGCAACCATCAGTCCATGGGGACCATGGAGCTGTGCTGCTGGTTTTGGGGAAACAGCACCTGCTATGGCTGTCAAATCCACTGCGAGAGTGGCCGTCCCTGTCATAACAGTCCACACGACAATGTTGATATTTTGTCATTCTGAGACTGGTTTTCTCCCAGACCACTCTCTCTATAGCCTGCAGCATTTGGCCACTTTCAAACTGTGACAGCCTGTCTTTCACTTTCTGCCCCCAAAGAAGTTGGTCTGCAGCTGATCTCTTTCAAGTGTCTGTTTCAATGTTGATATATTTCAGGTTGCATGACCTTATAGCACAAAGGGACAACATACTGACCCTAAAAGCAATCGTAAATATTACTACAACAGCTATTAGATAAAACAACCTTCTAATTTTGTTAGTAAACAAAGACAAAAATATACAAAGTATTTTTCTAACCATTGGGATATGTGGTGTCCAATCAATGTAGCCAATGTTATCATGTGCCAGTCTTGAGAATAAGTTCACCAGTGACTGTAGGGGAAAAACAGTTGCCATTATAAACATACTAAAACACAATCTGTACAATTCAAGTGCACACACACACACACACACAAAATCATAAAAACTAAAATTGCAAGTCAGTAGCACAATAAAAAGGATGAAGTAATATAGTGGTTATTTCATGTGACTATACTGGTTCATACAGTGGTTAGTTAGTGGCTCACAAAAACAACCATCTGGTATTCTAACATAGTAGAGGCAGGATGTTTGCTTTTTAAATTCCAACCAGCATAGCTTCAACTCCTAGAGCAGGGGTGGACAAACATGGCCCACGGACCAAAACTGGCCTGCCAAGCATTTTTTATTGGCCTGCGAGGATGGTGTAAAATGACTATAAATATAATCTGGCCCTCGAGCTCACAAAAAATAGCAGAGAAAATATCCAGCCTGAACAAACATTTTTAAGAATATATGGAAGGGCTTCAGTGGGTGAGTGTGTCTGGCCAGATGTATAGAGATGTATTATTATCTTAGATTATCCCACCACAAATATTGTGTTACTAGGAAATGTGGGTGTTATGTTTACTGTATTATTGTTATGCAAACAAACAACAACAACAAAAGAGGTTGCCCACCCCTGGTCTAGAGTTATTATAACAAAAGATTTGTGACCCTTCCATTATAAATGTGTAGGATATTCTTCCTCATTTAGTTGCAATGAAATAAAATATTTATATAATTTTTCAATGAAATTTCTATTATTTTCCCTAAGAACAAGATGTACACCAAACACTAAACCAAACACATCCAGGTCTCTGTCTTAGACAATGTGAGCCATGCCATAACTATTGCTATTATACAATTCCAGTGACATACAGTTATACATCAGTCACTGTAAGTACAAAGCATGGATAATTCTTGAAGTAAGGCATATCTAGAGCAAGACATTTTCAAATTGAATTTGACAATCAAATAGCCAAAAGAGTACGTTACATGAAAACATCATTTCAGTATTTTGATATTTCACAATGGCAGAATAAGCCAGAATTTCCATTACTGTGAGATTAACCATACCAGAGAAATGTAGAGATGAGCAGTCTAACACTGGGCATACTATTTCTCATCCACTGCTCTTTACTGCTGTGTACTCTATACACTGGAAATGTGTATGTGCATCTATGCTTGCACTCGTGTCAGTGTGTGATAGTGTGAGGGAGTGTGTATATGTGTGTATTTAAGTGAAATTAGGCATAACTGACAGTTTAAAACTGGAGATATATTAAGATATAATCATATATTTCCTCACAGCTAAGTGATCTAAGAGGGAGCAAGCTGGTTGTATATAAAAGCTGGACTCTCATGTGATAGACCCAGATTTGAATCCTCAATAAGGTTATGGGTTTTTTCTAATGGGGGCTAAAATGAAATCCTAACTTGCATAGTCTGTGGCGACAGCCCTAGTTATGTGGCTCTAAATCCTCAGGCTCACAGAACCCCTCCTCACCTACACTACAAAAGTTATAAATACAATCAGTAATGGCAGGTTGTTGTTTGTGTGTGTGCGGCGGAATTAAGTTACTAAGAGAATCTATTTAATCATATAAATATGATATGGTCACAAATTAAACTGCATAAAGAACAAAGAACCAACATCCAGCAGAACTGTGAGATACCCATCATTAACAAGAGAAGGTTCATTACTTGATTCTATCAGTTCCAGACAGTTGTTACTCCAAAACTGTTTAGCTTAAAGTTTGTGTACACTAGAGCAACACATTTAAGGGTTAAGGACTTGAAAATTAAAGGCCTAGGGACAGATGAAATTACAGTAATGATCTAGGAAGAATGGCAACGCATTAACGTAAGTGGAAGAAGCACGGACACAGAGGATATCATCCTCACTGTACAGACTAGGTTAGTGGATAAAGATGAATCTCTGACATTAAAATGACTGTGTGACATGGGAGTAAAGCATGGTGAAGCAGGCCTATGCTGTCTTCGAAGCTGAGATAGGAGACATTATAACCAATTCCTCTAAGAAACAATCAGTAGAAGTACCTTGGAGTGGCTGCTGCATCAGAGGACTGAGCAAAAATGGGAATGCTCAACATGTAGTGACGTCAATTGTGATAACATAGCACAACAATGAGTCTAGAAATGTAAATCTTGTAAATAGTAATCAATAAACTTATTGTGAGTTCCCTGGTACCGAAAGAGTTAGTTAAAGACATAAACAACCAACAACACACAAAACACATTCACACATACACAGAATAAAGTCATAGTCAAAACTCACCCCTTCCCATGATGGCATACTATGGAATGCTTTCCACAGGTCAAGAAATTCATCAAACCACAGTCTGAAAATATGTTTATTGTGAGCAGAAGGAAAACTGTGTAAATGTGAAAATACTAAAAAAAAAAAAAAGAATACACAATATAAAGTAAAGTAAAGCACCATTGCCAAAAAAATAGTGATTCAAATACCCATACTTCTTCTTCTGTTCAACTGTTAGCTGAATTACAGTTTCAAATTTATTGCTATACAGTTACTAGACTTTTTTTTTCTCAGTGTTCACTGACTGTAAACTCCAGCGGAAAGTTCTGGCTGTTCATCCACTCTCATGCTTTGGCCTTGATCAAGAACTTCCATTTTACAGATATGGCTTGTTTGTATGCAGACTGTTGTCTCCCTGCCTCTCAGGTTCCACAATGTAGCCACAGGACCCACCTCAGGGAAGTTACCAGTGATTAGTGAGAGCCATCATCACAGCACTCCAGACAGATTTGTGGGTGCTCTTCTCTCCAATAGCTCCACAAGTAGAACGTGATTTATGACACCCCTTCTATGTTGATTTCTCAAACATTTTATGCCTTTAGTGAAATATTGGTTTTGGCAGTTTCAGTTGCACCCCCATATCGACCACCCTGGATAGGGATACATGAATGCTTATCTAATTTTATATGTACCTATATTTTGAAAACAATCCAAGCAATAATAAAGAATATAAAAATCAAAAGACAGTGAATATGTTTGTTTAATTTGTAGGAGATTGTGATAAGAATGAGTCTAGTCATGAAAGAACTTCACACAGTTTATAAATGGGGTAATGCAAGAGGAAAATTTACAATGTATTGAAACTCATCATCATCACGTGACCTGTCCTTTGCAGAATTTCGCTCTCATCATGGCCTTACTAAAAGAAACTCAGTCTCTCACCAGCTCTCCTGTCTTCTGCACTTTCAATTCCAAGGAGTCACTTATATCCTGTGACCATCTCCATGCTTGTCGGCCCCTGCCCCTCCTTCCTGGGACCATGCTTTCTATTTTTTTTTTATCCGCCACGGCGCTTGATATGGCCAAAATATTTCACCTTCTGAGACAAGATGCCATTTATTAGCCAATCTTCCTTGACGTTCAGATCTTTTAGGATATCAGCATTAAAACTACTGTTTTAAAATATACATACATACACAAATATGTTTATGTCAGTGCATGCATATGTGTGTCTGTGGCGCTGTGGCAGTAAACTGGGAACAGTAAATAAAGTTGTGTTCAAATCCCCTGAGATGGGTTTTTCTTTTTGGTTACAAAAATATGAAACTAGCAACATATCCTCATGTGAATCCCTCTCAAGATAAGAATTTTTGTGTGTGGGCTAACAAATGACATGAGTCCGAAGGTTGTCCTACCCTTAAACTGGGAGGAAATATTATGGAAAGTAAAGGCAATAGGTCTGACACTGATCCCATCACCTATCCAGTGCTGCCTGGTCTAAAAAAAAATAGCACCATATATATAACATTTTCCAAGATATACTATCATTCACTTATTTCTCCACAATATCAGAGGAAAGGTGTTCAGACAAGGGTATGCATAAATCAGGAAATAGAAACAAGACTTTAACAAGTCAGTGCATATATATATAAACTGATGCCATTATTAAGACACCTAAACATAAGAGTAAAAAAAAAACAGATCATAAACAGTATATTCATACCAACACAGTGCTGCCAGTGCCAAACTTGGACATTATCAAAGGCTGCCTACATAAAATGAACACCTGTAAAATGTGATGCCTTAATAGAGCAGACAACCATCTAAGACAAAGTGAGAAATGATTCTATCAGACAGACTGTAGGAACAACACTATTTTCAAAATTCATTCAGAAACAGACGATATAATGGTTTAGTCATCTCATTAGAATGCAGCTAGAACAATTACAAACACATGCAAAAGTCTTTTACGAAAGCAAGAGGAGGCCCTAGAAGAAGATGGATTTATGACACTAAAAAACTTCTACATCAACATGGAATGATAATAGCTATTACTGTCAATCAAGCAATGTATCACAAATGTTTTTCTCCATGACGCTTAAGGATAAAAGTGAAAACATGATGATGATGATGATGATGCATGGGTATGCATCCATATACATGCGTATGTGTATGGTCCTCAATGATAATCTGGTGGTGATTCTTCTTCTTCTTCTTCTACGCTTTCCTTTAAAAGAGCAGTTGGCACACTGTGATGTGGCTCACAGCTAGGCTGCAATATCTGCACCTTTCAGGCCAACACATCCAATTTCAACAAATTCTCAATTAACCAGCCTTTAAGAAGCAATGAGTCTACCCCCGCCATCCCCCTCCCCCTTTTTAAACAGGAACCCACACGGGGATGGTGTATATGTGTGATATTTCAACATTTACCAGAAACTGCTCTTACTTAAAGCCTTTATGGTGAAGCTCTGGAGGCAGGGAAGTTGGCAGGAACAACTCCAAGCACTGAAGACCTCCTATGACCAACATATCAAATGGGCACAGCCAAGGACGCCACTCATCCAGCATCTCTTGTGTGGCATCCTCATGAAAATATCTGTGAATTATTTAGACAAATTTTTTCTAAGGCTACAAAACAATAGATTTGATAAGCCAGTGTGATAAGCTAAAGACAAAAAATGCTAGTCATTATAATAATTACAAAGTTTATCGTTTATTAATCTGTGAACATAATATCAGGATACATATTTAGCATATGATGACATGGTCTATAAACAGAATACCAAAATAGGATCTGTCAACAAGATGATATGGTAGGAAATGCTAACAGGGCATCACAGTATCTTCATTGTGAGTCAAGCATTTACATAAATGATCTGACTTTCTCACAGTATCTTCATTGTGAGTCAAGCATTTACATAAATGATCTGACTTTCTCACAGTATCTTCATTGTGAGTCAAGCATTTACATAAATGATCTGACTTTCTCACAGTATCTTCATTGTGAGTCAAGCATTTACATAAATGATCTGACTTTCTCACAGTATCTTCATTGTGAGTCAAGCATTTACATAAATGATCTGACTTTCTCACAGTATCTTCATTGTGAGTCAAGCATTTACATAAATGATCTGACTTTCTCACAGTATCTTCATTGTGAGTCAAGCATTTACATAAATGATCTGACTTTCTCACAGTATCTTCATTGTGAGTCAAGCATTTACATAAATGATCTGACTTTCTCACAGTATCTTCATTGTGAGTCAAGCATTTACATAAATTATCTGACTTTCTCACAGTATCTTCATTGTGAGTCAAGCATTTACATAAATGATCTGACTTTCTCACAGTATCTTCATTGTGAGTCAAGCATTTACATAAATGATCTGACTTTATCACAGTATCTTCATTGTGAGTCAAGCATATACATAAATGATCTGACTTTCTCACAGTATCTTCATTGTGAGTCAAGCATTTACATAAATGATCTGACTTTCTCCCAGGCTGACAAATCCTGTTCTGTACTGATCTTGTGAACTGGATCATCAGCCATTTTGTGAGATGTGAACCTAACACATTTCTCAAGAGTCTCAGCAAGGTGCACGTAACTTGGTCCTTCCATCAAGAGTCTTGGAGACACCTCACATACACACACACTCACAGATAATCAATTCACAAAATCTACAATGAAAATAGCAAAGAAACATATTCTGAGACCAAATTCTCAGCCATAGTGAAATACACGTCTTTTTTATTTGCTATCTTATAATGCAGTCCTCTCTAATAAATACAAGAAAGATAAATGTAAACATATTACAGAATCTGATAGACCAGCTCATAGTGAGATGCAGTGGCAGGCTTCTAGTCTTCTCCACAATCTTTTCTTTAGTATAATTCTATTAATACTGCACATGTTACTGACTTATATGACTAAAATTAGAGACACAATAAGCAAAGTTTTAAAATTTCCTTTGAATGAAACTTACGGGTTGCAAGCTCTCACAGCACTTTTTATGTTACTTTCAAATTTTCTGAAAACACATAATTTCAGATATAAGGAATAATACAAAAATTCAATTATACACTTATTTTACACATTTAAAATAATAAAAGCCACCTTCTCTTCTTTGTGTATCTTTGGTAGAATTTCTTACTTCCCAACTTTTAACTGTCATCAATCAAATTATACCTTATATATGAAGTTTCTCACTTTAGTAACTCAATTTTTTTTTTTTAATTAGAACAAAGAATTCAGGTTTGTCAAAAACAAGCATAGCTGCCAATGAACAAATAAGTACAATTCATACATCAGCTTCTTCTTCTTCATTCGCGTTCACCAGCTGTAAACTATGGCAGAAAGTTCTGGGTGTTCATCCACTTCTGGACTGCAGTCGTGTTCCAGAACCTGAGTGTTGCGTGTGTATCCATTTTACAAATCTGACTCATTTGTACGCAGACTGCTGGTTCCTTGTCTCTCAGGCAGATGCAATCCGACTTCAAAGGAAGCTTCCAATTAGTCGAATCTTACGACATGCTTTTGGATAGTCAGTTGGTCTATTCTTGTTTTCCCAACAATAGGGCCCCGGAACCCACATGGGGAATACATTAGCAAGAACCAAGAGTGTCAGTAGTGACATTTTAAAACCTGTGAAGTTTGGTCCTGCTTCTCACGATTCCTAATCAGAATTATTCAGAAGGTATTATATAAGAGAAGCAGAGAAAATGCAAACAAAAGAAGCCCAGTATTTATAATATGAGGAATATTCCAAAATCAACCTCCGATTGGCTGGTAAAATTAAACCATCTGCTATAGCAACACCGTTCATTGCCTGCATCATTCAATAGTCTTTTAGCTCATGACAAGTATCCTATAGTGGTCCATGAATCACGAACGAATAAACATGGATAATGTTATTGCCTTTCCTGTCAGTGGATGCATTTCTGCATTTCCGCAAGCCTAAAAGAAGATTCAAGCAAACATCATGAAAAATTATGGTTAGTGTTTTGGGATCGCAAAAGCATTTAACTGACGGAAGTCATGTCCCCAGGGACCACAGTAACGTCAGAAGTGTATTGTGAAACACTGAAGAAGCTTCGCTGGCCAATCTAAAACAAAAAAAAGCGTGGAAAGCTAACTAGTCATGTCATTATCTTGCACGATAATGCGCCACCCCACACTAGTGCTCACACAAAAGTTTTACTTGAGCAGTTCAAGTGAGACATTTTTCAGCCAACCTTTTACAGCATGACTTGGCACCATGCGATTTTTATATATTCTAGCCATAATATACAGGTTCATTTACTCATCACCCCCGTGTCATAGTTACCTGGACAAAATTCACTGATTTACTGATTTAAGAATTGACATCATCGTACACTGTGCATACCCATAGATGCTCCGTCTTCCATAGAAAATGGCTTAAGCTGTAGAGATGCTGACAGTTCCAAAGATAAATACAATAATAAAACTCAGATAAATACAATAATAAAACTCAAACAGTAAAACTTACATAGGAAACACTTTGCAGCCTCCTCCATTCTTGTTAACCTCTTCAACTATTTTGTACAGTGGTCTCCATGGCAAGATCAGGTCTTCCCTCGACAACAAACTTCGCTTCCTGAATTTCAAATAAATATTTCTTCAACATCTGCTATTGCAACTGACTAACTGCAACAACAAATAAATTCTCTGATTACATGGAGTAAAACATCTGAGGACACAAACTAACATCACTAACCCTTTGGCCATATAAAGTTAGTTGTGTATACTTTACAGGACGTTGCAGAACCAACCCCAGCATTTTTTGGCTGTTGTGGTTTTTCTAGGCAAATTTACGCCCAGTAGTTTTAAAAAAATGGGTCTTGAAGCCATTAGAATTTCTGGTAAAAATCCTTTAAAACAAAAACTATTTTACAAAGATAACTAATAAATTGTTTTAAAGTGTTTTTATCTACATTTTCTTTAATTGCTGTTTTCAACCATAAAGATATATAAAGACAGTAATAAAAAAAAACAAGAACAGAGTGAAGCATTCCCCAGAGCTTAAAACAAATATGTATCAGGTGAAATCATACCATGAGTATGTGACCTCTATCAGTGTGCTTATGGGAAAATTGTAAGTCAACCTGGCTTCACAAAAGCTAATAAATCTACAAGAAAACACTTCTAAATGCTATATTTAGTTAATAAATTCTCATTGGGTCCTTCTAAACACTAAAAAAAAAAAAAAAAAGCTGGCGTAAACAGAACCAACGGCATTTAACTGCACCTTTCGAGAAAGATCACTGCAGAAATTGTGACAAATCTGCATTTACAGTGCTGCTTAATACTGGAAGTGATTAGATTTAGCCTTCTTAGGTTAAAAGAAGTCAATTTTTTAAAATTGTTTTCAAAGGGGAGAAGATCAAATTCATTTTACTGAGTTATATTCCATATGGTCCTGTCTGTTTCCACAAAATGGTTGTTCTCTTGCCAAGTATGACCACAAAGCAGAAAATTTAGTAGCCCCAAGGGTGAACCAAAGTGATCACTTGGCCAGCCACTCCCAGGTTCAACCGGCCTTTAAAAAAAAGTACCTGGCAATCTCATAAAAATTAAAGGCCACTAGTAAGATATAATCTATTGACTGCAGACTGGTCTGAATGTTCCATGTGGGTTCTAGCACCCCATTTCGGAGGCAGGAGGGGGGCAAACAATAGACCCACTGCCCCCCACCTCTCCCCCTTCCCGCAATAAGCATGTTGTAAAATAAGTGACTAATCAGGGATGCTCCCTCCAAAGCTGGGGGGTGCATCAGCCTGAGAGGTCAGGAACTTACAGTCTGCATACAAATAAGCCAGATCTGTAAAATGGATGTGCAAACAAAACTCAAGTTTTGGAACAAGGCTTAACAACCACAACTTTGCACCATATTTTGCAGCCGGTGAACGCAAAGAAAAATAAGAACATCTAAATGTATAGACCTAACAGTAGTAAATAATATGCCTCAAAACATGAATATGGGTCCTTTAATTTTTCTCTATGTCTGTCTGTTGGGGTGGGTCAGTGTGAGAGCAGAAAAGGGGGAGGGGGGACAAGCCATTTAGCTAAGTTATCAATTGGTTAACAAGTGTAAAGTTCTGTGGTTCCTGGTGATTGTCACTGAAGCTATGAAATGTATACATCGTGTAATTCTCTAAGAAGATGGCAAGCTGTTGTGCTGATACAGACCAAGATATGTGGGTATATAACCTAGTTACTTAGTTAGTTAATCGACAGATTATCCTCACTGCACCTTGGACAAGTCCATAAGCACTCGGATCCCATCTTCAGTATATCCCTCAGCACTGTTTACTATTATTTTTTGGCTACCTTTATAGTGTTCATGTTTGGTGACACTTCTTTTAACATGAACTTCTTGCAGTAGTCTTTTGAGTGTTTGAATATAACATAACGCAATGAAGTCAATAATCTCCCCAAAATATTTTCTTTCTATACACATTTGCACACATCAACTACAAAATTATATTTGATTTTTAGCTTTACCTATTTGTAACTGTATTTATGTATAAGCAGAATAATCAACTTACTTGAGCAGCAAAGAAAGAACAACTGCAAACTTTTCCACCAGGGCATATTCTTTGAGTGGCATAGTAAGCAGCTCAAACACCAATTTGACAAGGTGAACATGGTCTGTCTTGGAAAACTTGTATCCATAAATCAGTATGTACCTTAAAAAATATATACAAATTGCATTTAAAATAATGCATTGCAGAAATTTTTTTAGAATTTATTTTTAAAGAAAAACAACACAAATTTGTTATGTCATCTTAAAATCTAAAATTAAAAATCCATGGTCTGTCTGGTGTTTGTCACATGGCCACCTCCCAAAAGGTGACCAATAGAGGGATAACATTTGCAGATTTCATTCTTGCTGCAATGTCGAGGTTTACTGTGAAATTTCCAGCAAGGTTTCTACATATTTCTAATAATTAATGCCTCAATAACTAAAAAGTTAACATTCACTGCAGTTATTTCCCTTAGAGTCTACCTTTTTTTTATGTAATGTACCTTAAAAATTTAGTTTCAAAAACTATAGTTTTATGAAGATAAATAAGTGAGCCATTAGAAAACAGAATAATAACATATTCAATAAAATATGTTGCAAGTTAATTAAAATGTAGTTTAATTTGTGATAACAATGGTGAGCACTGACCAGCCGTGGACCGGCCTAACAAAACAGGAATTTCCCTAGACCTGTTGGGCCTCACTGCTGGAGCCAGACATGTTTAAAACATTTAATGGTACTTGTGTGCCTTTCTTTCTGCCAGTTATACTTTTTTTCTCTTTCATTTGGCAGTTTTACTGTTCTCTATTTTAGATTGCATCCTAATATAAATATGCCTATCTGCACAAGTAAAACTGTGGTTCTCAGGTACTGGTCTTGCACGCACTACTGGTTTCTATGTTTGGACAGTGAAAGGAAAGGATAGCCCTACTGTCCCCTTGGAGAATATTACTTTGTTACCAGGTATGGAGAAAAATCCCTACACCAACCTAACTCTGAGAGCAAGCCCTTTCAGGGCTTAGAACAGGCCAGTGCCAAACAATGCATCAGATCGGATTAGGAGTTGAAACTTTCAGAGGATTAACTGACCAAAAAGTCAAGCCAAATACCCTAGATATGAGAAAAAATGCTTTGCACTGACGAAAAAATGAATATAAACTTCTAAACTGAGTTATTTACAGTACAACAGTCTGAGTACACCACAAGAATTACACTGAAGATGAAGATGACATTTCCTTTAATTACTTCAACATATAAAGTTACAAGTTAAAATCACCTTTCCAATTGTAGAATCCAATGACGGCATCCAACTTTAATGTCTCTCAACTGAATTGAGCGACTCAGGTTTGCTTTAATGTCGGCAAATATCGCAACTGATTCTACATCTAGCTCCTGTGAATATGGCAAGTGACGGCTATAGTGACAGACTTTTTGTGGTGTGAAACCTAGCAGTGCTGTCCTATCTGAATTCGTCTCCATTGTGAAAACTTCACTGGTACTAGTACTCATTATTATAAATAAAGCCTATGGCTTTACCCTCAACGTTCAATAAGTGTTATGTCAATAAGTCATGTAAGCTTTCAGCTGGATATCTGTGTTTTGATGTACGTCAAGCTTTATATGTAATAAATGACACTGAATGACCAGTGGGTTGTAGTCGCGGCCATAGCTTTACTCATCACAATTGAAAAACATATCTTTCTATTGGTGCAATCGCTGAGTTTTAACCAATTAAAACCTATGTATCAACAGTTAGTCCATGGGCAGTAACTCTTTAGTAGACGTTAACAGTAAACAAACAACCGGGAAAGCAACGAAACGAACTATAGACAATTTCCAACAATCGACGCGTGAAGATGTGGTTGTAGTTTTTAGCTTTCTTAATAGTTAACATCCATTCTGTCATTGAAGATTAATTGACAGCATGTTTTCTATTGTTTTCAGTTGATTTTTAGATTTTAAGTTACATATTGGATAATGAAATCATCGTATAAAAATGGAGGACAGAAGGAGGTCATTCAGTTTCACACCAGCGATCATTACTGATGTACAACACGTAGAACTACAGAAGTACGATCTGCCCTCGACTGAAAGAAGGGGTTGTTAAAAGTAAGTAAAGTAGGCATGATGATACTGACCACACTCGTCAGCTTCACGTCGCCACTCATCGCGTTCGAGTGCCGATTAATCATACAAATTTGTAATAGAAATGCTGCTAATGCTAGTGAAGTTTTATATTAAAGCAATGCAATGTTTCCCTTTGTAAATTTGAACAAAGAAGACAGACTACAGACAATGCATTGCACATTTTATCGCCTGGCATATTTTAATTTCGCTGTATCTCGTCAGGTGCTCATACTACAGTATGAGTAACAATTAAATAAATGAAGCTAATAAATTAATCCTTTATATTTAAAAAAATGTAAAACAGAAAGACATGATTCTGACACAGCGGCTGCCATGGTAAAACAGGCAGTTGTGTTTGTTTGTCATTTATGAAAGGATTCACTTATTTGCTTCATTATGTAATTCCTACTTCTCTCTGACTTCTAGTGGAAAATCTTAAATTAGTCGCCATTTACGAGATGCTAGTTAGGGAGGCAGTGGGTCTATTCTTTCTCTTCCCTCAGTAGGCCCCAGAAGCCACACAGGGTAAGGTAGAGTATATAATATTTGTTGGTTTTTCTAATGGCATCTTAGTCTTCTTCATTTATAGCCAGTGGTTACATTAACCCATTCATTTGTGGGTATTATTTAAACAGTTTCTCCTCCAGTGCATTCTTTGGCTCCCTTTTGGGGAATGTAAACCAGCTTGTCCTTAACAGATATGAGGTGAATGGCAGTTAATTAAGGGTTTATGCCAAAAGATGCAGGTACTGCAGCCTGTAGTCTATTACATTTTCACCTAATCATGACAGATTGTTACATATAGTAGGGGTCTAAAAAAAAGTTAACATTGCCTTGTAAATATACAATTTCAGAAAGTTAACTTTTTGAGAATAAAAAGATATTACCAAAAATATTGGAAAAGTTTCCATCACTAAATTCAGTGAGAGGCGAAGACAGAAATAGTTCAGACATCTAAAAAAGAATACATTCAAGGATACCAGCAAAACAAGTATACAGCCTGAACAGGAGAACACCAAGATTCAAGATGCAGGGGAGACCCAGAGGAAAATGGATCGAAGCAGTCGTTGATAACCTGAAAATGCATAACATCACAGCAGTCCATGCATTTGAACAAGGGCTGTCTCAGCTACTAATCATCTGTTAAACTCATGCAACACAGAACATGTTGACCAAAACAACAAAAAATGTGTTTTTTCAGTAAGACAGGTAGTGCCATTCAGCTGCTTTTTGGGCACAATAATTTTAACTTACCCCATGACGTCACGGGAGACATTCAAATAATTTCCAGGGTGGTAAGGTTGGGGGGATTTTTCCCTTCTAGAGTGCATAGCAAAAGTGCGCGCTTGTTGGCGCCTCTTATGACGTGTGTTTACTGCACATCAGCAGTCTTCATCTTTGTTTGCCGTTCGTTCCAGCCATGAATTTTCTACAATTAGTAGCATCTGTACAAGACAAGAAGACCAGCATTGCCTTCCTGCAACAGCATGGCATTCTGCACAAAACGAGATGTTGCAGAAACAACCATCAGATAGATGGTGTATTATCCCTGTCGGAAAGACACACAGCAGTTTGCCGGCGTTGAAAGTCCACCTGTAGTCTGGACATACTCGTACGCCAAACTGCGGACTTCTTCCGGCGATAATACCGCCACCGCCGAGAGTATCCCCGCGCGGCGCGAAGGGGGGTTAAACTAGATCGCTGGGACTCACGAGCTGCAGCTACCGCATCTCCTTTTGATTCCTTTATTTTATTTGCTCGTGAGTCCCAGATATCTAGTTTAAACCCCCTCCGTGGCGTGGGGATACTCTCGGCGATGGCGATAAAGTCGCCGGAAAGAGGTCCGCAATTTTCAAGTGACTAAGGCCCTGTTAGGGTATATTTTCGGCCTTGATAATTTGGGACCATTATTCAAAAGATAGCCAAAAACACAATTTACAATTAATTTTTTTTTGTGTAAATAAAACACACACAAAAAGTCACGTAGGGATTGAGCGCAGCACCTTTCATTTATAAGGCAGATATGATATCAACTACGCTACACATGACAAAATGATATAAAAACATGCCCAGTATTGTACACCTGGCAATTGCGCATCAACAAGCAGCCGACTGCGCACCAACAGACAGATACATGCCACACCAGAAAACACTAGAAGAGAAACGACAGCAACAGCACATTTGCACCCCTTGAAATAGTGGACTGTCCAGTCAGCTGTGGAATTCCCACGGATTCCCTCTGTTCGGGGTACTTACAAAATATTGTACTGCTTTATGTTGTTGTTTTTTTTTAAATATATATTTCAGTATTGCTTATTGTTACTATATATTTAAGAATTGTTTTCTTTTTCTGTTGTCAGATAATGAATATAAAATTTTGTCTTCTTTTCTTACAAAGGAGCAGTCTGCATGTCTGAAACTGGATTGCCTAGAGAGCTGCTGAGATTACTTTGTCCAGTATTCTTTGGCTTGTAAGCATTCATTTTTAGAGTAATCATGCCATCCCCAGATGATGTGATTGGGAAGCAGCTTCCATGTGAACTGCGTATTAAGGATCTTGAGTGTGGAAGACTTTTAGATGGTGACTGTGCAGCAGAGCTTTCTCCACCAGATGAGTTTGATATGGCCAGATTTCATCGTGGCAGAATGTTCTTTAGAGACCATTTGTTCAGTTGCAGCATTGCCATGTATTTTTCCTTGGTCATTGGCATGAGTGTTCCAGAATTTTTAGAAGCTCTTGTATTCACACAACAATCTGATACTCCAGTAAAGGCATTTAGGAGATATATTAAAACATTTCACCATGTAGCCCTGTGGCATTATGGCAATATATGGGAGAAAGACTCCAAAGCTCAGAAATCTATTTGTGATGTCAGACAAATTCATAAAGTAATTAGAGAACAAATGCAGAAAAGATTTGAAGGCCGAGAAGTCCGCAAGTTTATCTCACAATATGATATGGGTGTTGTTCTAAGTGGTTTTATGGGTGCTGTTATAATGTATCCTGAAGATGCGGGGATCAGGTGCTCTCTGGATGAACTTGATGACTATGTCTACTTCTGGTATGGAGTGGGTCACTTGCTGGGGATAGAGAAAAAGTATAACATCTGTGCCCATGGACTAACTCAAGCACTAACATTCTGTAAAAGCATAGAACAAGACATTGTGAAGAAAAACATAACTAACCCTCCACCTGAATTCCAACATGTTACAGAAAATGTAATTAAAGCATTTCAGGGAGGGAGGGGACCAATGAGCCTTCTCACTTTCCCAGTCATCTCAGCCTTATCCTATGAATACATTGTAGGTGATTCAGGCAAGTTAAGTTTTCCAGATACCGTAAGGTATCTCATTTGGAAATTGATTTTTTTTACAGTAAAACATGTCTCTTGGTTTAGGATATACCTGAATCAAAGAATTGAACGTGCTTGTCGCTTAACATTCATCAATGTATGAAATATTTAGAGATCAGGGTGCTATTTACATACAAACATGTGTGCCTATATGTACATTATCATCATCAGGTGCCATGCAGACTGTCATGGGGGGTCATTTCTCTCCAGAATCTGCTATCTCCTGCAGCATGTATCAGTTCGTGTGCCAACACACCTCCATGTCATGCAACAAGACTGTCAAGAATCTTCTCTTGTTGTCTTCCTCTATCCCTCCTTCCACAGATCTTTCCAGTGGTCACATGTTCCATTTTTCCTCTTCTCATAACATGGCCCAAAAATGGTGACCCTCTCCTTTTGATGTCTGTGATAAGTTGTCATAGGGCTCCCACCTCCTTCAAAACCTCTTGGTTGCTCTTTTTGGCTATCCAAGGTATTCTAAGCATTCTTCTGTAAAACCACATCTCTGAGGCCTCAAGAAATTGTTTGGCCTGTCTACCGATTTTCCAGGATTCACAGCCATATGTTAAAACTGGAAGTATGTAGCAAGCAAGAATTCTTTTTCTAACTCTCAAAGACAAAGATATATTGCACAAGATGTTCTTCATCTTATAAAATGCAGTTTTTGCCTGTCCTATTTTGTTTCTTATCTCAGTTATGCATCTTCCATCTGATGTTATCCATGTGCCCAAATACTTAAATTTCTATACTTGTCCCAAAATAACACCATCGACTTTTATTACACATTAAGGAATAATTAATTTTTTTTATACCACCATTACTTCTGTCTTCCCATTATTCAAACAGGCCCATTCTTCCACTATCTAACACCACAATGTCTATCATTTCCTGTAGTTCCCTCTGACTTGTTGCTATTAAGACTGTCATCAGCATGATGTAAATTGTTTGTATTGTGCCCACCAACCACAATTCCAGGCAATTTTCTCATTATATTTTCACTGTATAATGGAAACAAATCAGGTGACAGTACACATCCTTGTCGTACGACCCTCTTTATGCTTTGAAATGTACCAAAAGATTTGTTAATTCTTATAGCTGCTGTTTGCTGCCAATACATATTCTTCGTAGATCTTTTCCGTGGATGTTTAATTTTTCTAACAGTTTGATTACTTCTTTATGCTTCGCACAGTAAAATGCTTTTGTATAGTCTATAAAGCATAAGTACAAATCAGTCTTTACTTCTATTGCTCTTTCTGGCAATGTCCTTAGGATGTATATGGCATTTTTTTGTACCTTTTCCTTCTACAAATCCACATAGTTCATCACTGATTTCTGGTTTAATTTTGTTTCTTATTCTTCTCATAATTATTCTCAGTAAAATCTTAGTCATTTGACTCGTAACACTTATTGTGCGATGGTTTTTACATTTTAAAATGCCTGGTTTCTTTGGCAGAGCTATAAATAAGGGATTTTAAAAGGTCATTTGGAATATACCCACTATTATAAATAACATTTAAAAGTTTAGTTATTATTTCAATTCCAGAATCTCCCAGTGCTTCAATTTCTTCCAGTGAAATGTTGTCTGGCCTGGGTGCTTTTCCTTTTTTCATATGCATCCTCAACTTCTGCAGTCATTATTGGTGGACCATCATTGTTGGTCTGCAGTTCTACATCTGGTCTATTTTCATCATACCCCTATATACTCTGTCCATCTGTTAATTATATTACTGTCCCATTAATAAGTCACCATCTTTTGATTTTAAACATCCAGTGCTGTTACGTGTCATCTTTCCTGTTAACATATTTATCTGTTGGTACATGGAATGTGAGCCTTTCCTGTGATTTGCCCCAACCTCTGTACACATTTGATTCAGCCAGGCTTCTTTAGCCACTTTGAATTTGTTTACTATTTCTTGTTGTATTCTATAATATTTTTCTTTATCATTCTTTTTCTTCCTTCTTTCATCCATCAACTGCAGAATTTCAGTTGACATCTATTTCTTTTTGCAACTCTATGGGTTGGTGGGATTGTCTCTTTTAATGTCTGTTCATCAATAGTCTGTATAATTTCCATTGCATTATACCGGTTTTGTACAGTGACATTGTACATATGTACATATACATTAATATTTCACTTAGAAATTCATTAAATTGTTAAGCGCAGGTTGGTAGTGGTAATGTGAAAATAACTTATTGAATATGTTATATTTACAATATGTTGACGCATTTAAATTATGAATTTGTGCTGTTATTTGACAAATAGAGGAGACTGCAGATGATAACTACAATTAGTATGAGGTCCAAATAGGCATCTCAAAGTCTTCTTCTGCAGCAGCTATAATTGACTATATGATTCACTCCAGTAAGCCTTTGAAATTATAAAACATGCTGAGAATAGATGCTCTTAAGAACCATAAGAAAAAAGTACATATTTTTGTTGTTGTGCATCATCATGCGGTCGAGGCAGTTTCCATACGCAGACAGCGGACTAGCTCATTGCAAAACTCTTGTGTGTGCCAAATATCTGTCCCATGGATGCAGGTGTTGTTGGCAATAAAAGAGCTGATAGACTGACAGGTTCTGCATTAGTTGAAGATAGCTGACCTATGGATTGTGCTGACATTGTCAATACCCTTAGAAAGGTAGGACGTTCTGAGGATTTTGAATGGAACATGTCCACATAACTGCTAAGAATACGAGAATTATAAGTAAAGACAACCACAGCCAAGGCACACTCAGATTTCAAGTTTTGAGCACATCTGATCTACTTAATTAAAAATGTGTTTCATGAATAATTGTCATAGTAGTTTGTGTATTTTTTTTTAAATTGCACTTGTTTGAGGAATAGGGGTAAACCGACATGTAGCATTCGCTCTCCCTATCTGTACCGCCTCTTCTGTAGAAGAAAACTTTAAATGTTGAGCATGAATTGATTAGTGGAGATGCTATTCTAGAACTCATTAGTCAGGGATATCATCCTACAGTTTGTTCATTTTGTAACAATACACATCAGAGATTGAAAATATTTGAAGAGCTGTTTTTGAAAAAACATTTACAAATTGTGTTCACTGGCAAATACTTGTCCAACAAATACTGCAATCAGTAACAAACCTGAATACCTTGGCTTCATAATTAACATCACTATACACATCAGAGATTGAAAATATTTTAAGAGCTGTTAGAAAAAAAACATTTACAAATTGTGTTCACTGGCAAATACTTGTTTAACAAATACTGCAATCAGTAACAAACCTGAATACCTTGGCTTCATAATTAACATCACTAGGGACTATTCAAAACATTAGAAGGAATCTGCCCATAGCATTGCTTAGGCTAAGCAGTTCTAAGAGCGTCTGGCACAAGAGCAGCTTACAAAATAAAGAACCAATGTTAAAGATATGTATATTTCCTGTGACAGCATGTTATATATGGATCATAGATCATTCTGCAACTCTTCTCCTGCCCTTTATTCCTGATGGAGCATATGTTCATGACCAACTCACTCCCATCCTTTGCTAATGCTTGCGGCTCACACTTATTTTTTACTTCACTTTATAGTTCCCTCCATGCGTTTTTGTTCTGCCTTTTTTCCTTTGATCCTCTGGGTTCTAGCAAAGAGACTAACTGTAGTTATATTGTGTATACTACCCGACACCAGTTTTTTCTTCTTCCCTTTTTATTCACTGGAATTTGTTCTGTTCTGCGCAGATGCCAGTTAATGAAGTTAGTAGTTATTTAGTGCAGTGTAATTATTGTAGTTCTCTATGTTGTATTGATTTGACATTAGAGTGAAATATTTTAACTTATTATTGGTTTTTTTTTTTTTTTTCAATTAAAAAGATTTCCAAGAGCTGTGAAAGCTGCATATTTGAATACATTTCCTGATGACCAGGATTCATAGCAAATGAATGAGAGTTATGGGCCCCCAATTGGGTGGGGGGTGAGAAAAGACCCTCTGTCCCACTAACAACCACGTTGTAAAAGTATTCAAATCAGGGTCTTTCCTTCAAAGTCTTATGAGTGTATCTGCCTGAGAGGCAAAAAACCAATAGTCTGCAAACATATAAGCCACATCCACACAAAAAGATATGCACACAGAACTCAAAAACAAGACTAAAGTTTAGAGGTGGACAAGCAGCCAGAACTTTCCTATGAAGTTTACAGTTGGTGATCATGAAGAAGAAAAAAATAGCAGACAGCCATGAAGTTGCAACAATTTAAAACAAATAATATAACAGTCGACACTGAAAAGACTGAAGTAACGCCAAAAGGAAGAAAGAAGCAGAACCTGAAAATAGCAGTAGAGTGCAAAGGTTCTAAACAGGCATCTGAGTTTAAATATCTGGGAACAACATTAACTGAAGATGGAAAATTGGATAAAGAAAATAACATTGATACAGTAAAGCAAACCAAATACTAGGACAGATAGCTCTCCACTTTCAACACAAGATAATCCCAGTCAGCATGAAGAAACATTTCTTAAAAGCATATTCATTTCCACTCTTTGCTGCCAGTGCCAGACATGGTCACTCACAACAGTCTAGAACATAAAATTAGTAATCATGTGAATAAGGTGTCAGGTGACCAGAAGAAATAAAATAAGAAATGAAGTAATTTGAGGAAACAGTTTGCACAATACCAGTTCTAAGTTACATACAAAGATAGCAAATAAAATGGTTTGCCAAGGCATACACCAAAAGAGGAGAAGGACATAGACCACGAGGTAGACCTAGAACAGCATGGAAAGATAACATCAGAGAAGCTTAACAACAGCACGATGTGTCTGCGGTCAAGGCAAACAGAAGAGCAAGAAGCAGACAGAACCTTGTATGTAACTCAAAACTTCAACCAGAGCATCAGAACAGCTTCAGTACTCCAGGATTGGGTACACAGCTACCTAATCCCAGTTCCAAAACCAGGCAAAGATCATTCCAGACTCAGCGGTTTCATGACTATCAAACTACAATATACTTTGGCAAGGTGCTAGAGAAGATTGTTGCTGTTTAACTACAAATGTTTTTGGAAAAGAAAAAGCTTCTGCCAAAAGGTTTGGGTAGTTACTGGGCAAGGATAGATACCTGGTCAAATGCATCTACGTTTTCT